ACAACAACAACAACAACAACAACAACAACAACAACAACAACAACAACAACAACAACAACAACAACAACAACAACAACAACAACAACAACAACAACAACAACAACAAAGGAGATAGGAATTACCACGTATTCCACACCGCCATTTTGGATCGAAAATGTATCGAAAAAGCGACCCGAACTCGGCGCACACCGGGCTCGGAATTCGTCGAGCAGAACATGGCGCCAGCTCTCCCATTTACACTACGACTCTGTGTACTCTATGATTTGTGGTGAATTGCAGGAGGTCCGAGTCGGGTGAGTTTTGTGAGTATTTTGCTTAAAAAGTAACCTGACTGAAGCAGCTGACTGATCGTTGGTTTTCTTTTATGTTGCAGTGTTGATCTCCTCTGCGCAAGACAGTAGAAACGATCCTCATCATGACACGTGACAATCATGTCCGCCTACACTTAGAAAATAGGCAATCGGTAAGTCGACTTGACTCGCTCCTATTGTAGACTTTGACGCAGGTGCAGGAAAGGGTCAAAGTGAGAAAAGTTCTTAAGAGGATCTATTTTCTCAGTGTTAATATTGTCCTTCTGTGTTGCACCCAGAAAAATGAGTTTTACAAGCAACAATAGGCTTCTTGTGTAGCATTGAGCAGATGCTTATATTCTCACCTCTTAATTTGTCAGGATTACCATTAATTAAGATAGTTTACCCGTATATGGAACGTCATTACTTTGGTAATCATCCGTTTTCTCCAGTGTGAAGACTTGAAATAGCTTAAACCTCCAGAACCTAAAATTTCGATGTCCAAAGTGCGAAACCATGTACGTCCATTCGCGGTATTCCAAAATTCCCGCTTTCATTTTATTTTTTCGATAAGAGACATAATAGCTTGAAATGTACAAAGTATAATCTGCTGACAGAGAGGAAAAACCTAGAGAGTTTTCAAGAAATTTAGTCAACTAGATTTTCAAAGAAAAACGAAGTCTGCAACGTCCCAAACGGAAATACTTAGTTTCGCACTTTGACTGTGTCGATGTGCACTACGAGTTCAAAACGCGCGAACAACGCTGTCAATCTCAGAGTGGCTCAAATTGCATAGCTCCTGAATAGAAGGAGAACTAATGCGACACCACTGTGCAGGCCCCCATAGTTTGATCAAATCATTCCAAAGGACGGATAATTATGTTTTGGCGTTTTGATGGTTGCAGTTTACGGATTCAGGACGAATTGGGGAATAAAACCCAAGTGCTGAACGGCTCTATTACATCATACGTCTCGGAGACACACTTTTTGTCTCTCAACTTGACATCCATGTAAAACTGCATTGTTTACGAGCGCTTTTGCACAAGATAATCCTTTCAAACTGGTTCTAGTCTAGTTCAAAATTATCCTTGAGCTATTTCTAGCCAGTGAGATTTTCCAATCAGTTTTCTGTGTGCAATAATTATGAACAATTCGAGCGATTGAATGTAGCAGTTTTAAACAAAAAAACGTTTTCTGTCAAGAGAGATAGACTTACAAAACGGCAAAAGACCATCGATTGGACTGCATTTTGCAATGTGGAACTATAAATGCTGGCTCATCTGAAAAAACACTTTTTTGCATAGGGAAACTGATGGCACATACGTTGCTTTTAAACTGGGCCAGAATTTACAGTTCCAAATTGCAAAATTCAGTCCAATTGTTTAGTTTATAGGCTAGACAAATAAGCTGTCGGTCCTAGTCGAAATAGTAAAAGATGAAGAGAAAGAAACAATTGAACCATTCAGAAGCCTTTTAGTCCATGTTTCGCATAGTTCTCGAGGTAATTTATTGAAAAACAATTCTGCGCATCGAACATAACCACCATGCTAGAGAATAACGCCGTATGAGCCATCGGACCTTGTCAAATTTCGATTGAGAAAAAGCAAATATTTAAGGAAACTTTTGAGTATTTACGTTCAAATTTTTCAGAGAACTTTCCGCGCATTTTGATCTAAAATATCTAAAACTGGCAAGGAGAGAACAGGAGCACTTTCTTGAAAAATAAACATTTACTCGAAAGAAATGTGGCGATATTCAAATGTCCATTCGCGTTTTTTTCTCAGCACGGCAGATAAGTTGACACCAACTTCGCACCTCCGCGGTGTTTCTCGAGATTTCTGCAAAAAATTCCCAGGTGTGAACTGTCGTCAAGAGCACAGTATTACAAAATAAATAAACAATATATTTTCTCGGTTATTTTCCATTAGAAATTCATCCAGTCGCATGCGCTTCTCGTTATCTGGTCTCTCGGAGTATAAAGGCGTCAGCGGAGGAAGTGAGCAAATACTCACGTACAAACCAGCGAGAGTTATTTGGAATGTTTCTAAACATATATCTCATGTGTAATGATGCTGTGCACTTGAGAGGAAATGAGTTAAAGCTGTTATCACTTTATAAGGACCCGTCGCGGGTCGGTGAAGTTTAATTGAATTGTACCTCGGATGAAAGAGTTGAGTGCCATTTTTTCTTGAGTCAAAGGACAGTGAGCTTAATTATCCATGTTCTTTCATCATTTGGTTGTCAAGTGCCGATTTTAAACTATCTATAAAATGAGCTTTTTTGTGGAAGAGGCAGGCAATATGCAATGCAAAAAAAACCATTGCAACTTATTTTGTTTTCACTGTAATAAATTTCGATAAGTGGAGCCCCTTCAATCAGTAGATAGGCAACATACACAACACTCCGATACAATACCGATAATTTTACCACTTACTCGCGATTTATTGCAATCCGTGTCACTTGGACACGGTTTGAAACGTCGAATGTTTTTATTGTTTTTAATATTTAAAGTACAGTTTTACCCATATGTTGTATTTTTATTCTATCTTTGTCAAGTATCGTCGTTTTTCTCACGAAAGAACTGAACTACATTTGCCATTTACTGATTTTGCCAATTTTTTTTCGCAAATTGCATTTATCCCGAGATAATCTTCGGCATCTCTAACTGAAAATTTCGCTGATTTTTCTTCTGATCTCATGCAAAAATGTAAAAACTTGGATTGGAGTCAATTTTGCGACCTTGGAATGAAGTTACGTTCCCTCATCCTTCTCCGGGAAACGACGATATTCGGCTATGCGCGGATTTTTTTTTTTTTTTTTTTTTTTTTTTTTTTTTTTTTTTTTTAGGAGTAATCCCCTAAAATTGTGATGCTACCTCACTTTGTTTGATGATATGGACATGTCTGATTAATTGTGGTAGTACCGCAACTCACGTTGGGGTTGGCCCGCAACAGTTGGGTTAGCAACCTAATTTATTGGGGGTACCACCACAATTAATTTTAAATACTCAAATCAACTAACAATCCATACTTCTTTATTTACATGCGTAATTCTTCTATTCCCGATGTCGATAACTGTACTCGTAAGGAAAAGCGCCGTATGAGCCTTTACACGTTGCCAAACTTCCTTCGACCAATTACGAATTTTGGAGAATGTTCATGAATATTTCTCTTCCGACCTTTCAGATGATTTCGTTCGAAATTCGATACCAAAAGTCTAAAAAATTCAAGGAAGAATATCTATAACTTTCTTTAAAAATAAATATTTGTTGGTCGGAAATTTGGCAACATTCGAATGCTTATACGGCGTTTTTCCTTAGCACGGCAGTATAACATAACGACGGTGTAAGTCGGCAATCACATAACTCGATTTGCGACGTCGCAGACTTCCTATCATACTTTATTTTTTAAACGGAAAACTACTCAACGGCTATTCTTCAAAACTCTAATGATTTTTCTTCTCTATGCGAAGAAAATTCTGCAAAAACTTCAAGGAATCATGTCAATTTGTTCTCCTCTAAAAAAATAACATAGAGGCGAAGATTTTCAGACATCGCAAACGAGTTATGTGATTGCCGACTTACACCGTCGATAAAAGAAAATAATGTTGTGAATCGGAGAGTTCCTAGGAACAGTACCTATTTTCATCAAGATCATAAAAAATCGCCTTGAGAATTTTTGATGGGAATATCAGAATCAAAGATGAAAGAGGTAAGGCGGAACGGACCGCGGCACGTGCTGAGTATCCGCCTCCGCAGAGGCGGAGGTGCAACTCTGGACTCGGCCCCGAAGCCGCGCCGGTCGCGCTGCGCCGCGGCGGCGGCCGGATTTTGGCTGGCTCACAAAATCGGGAAAAGCTATAAATATCCTAATCCACATTCCGTTCAAATTTCGAAGCAAAACGTCAATCTCGGATCATGTTTTCCCGAGCGAACCCAAGACCCGTTCCACGAGAGTTTTTCCAGTTCCGCTCCTGTTGAGCCTCGCTTTTCCGAGTTTCCATTGTTTTGTTTTGACTGTCGAGCTCGGCTGGAGCGTCGGTGTTAGGTTACGTTCTTTTTCTCGCGTCTCTGCGTTTGCTATTTTAGTGGATTCGTGGTGCGTTCTGCTCGTGCGGGGGCCGCGCGTTCGAACTAGTTCAGTAGTGTGACACACGGATATTTATCTAATGCTTCTTTATGTGCGGTCATCGTACGACTGATACTGAGGTACATGTTTTTGTGGTTGCATGCGTCTGTTCTGGAGTGTATGTTTTCAAAAAGAGCAGTATGTGCACTGATGGAATTTTGAGAGAGTGAGTTCTCATGCGTCTGTTTTGAAGTGTATGTTATCAAAAAAGTAGTAGGTGCACAAATGAATTTTTGAGAGAGCGAGTTCTCATGTGTCTGCTTTGAAGTGTATGTTATCAAAAAGAGCAGTATGTGCACAAATGAAATTTTGAGAGAGTGAGTTCTCGTGCGTCTGTTTTGAAGTATATGTTATCAAAAAGAGTAGTAGGTGCACAAATGAAATTTCGAGAAAGTGAGTTCTCATGCGTCTGTTTTGAAGCGTCTGTTATCACAAAAAGCAGTATGTGCACAAATGAAATTTTGAGAGAGTGAGTTCTCATGCGTCTGCTTTGAAGTGTATGTTTTCAAAAAGAGCAGTATGCGCACAAATGAAATTTCGAGAGAGTGAGTGCAGTATCTCCGGGAGGAAAATCTGACTGTGCGAATTCTTTGAAATGTCTGTAATCATCGAAAAGACTTTTGAAGATTGTTTGGATGCCTCATAATTGACAAATTTATCCTCGATTTTATGCAAAAGGGCCTTTTTTATTTCATGCATGTCAGGCATGGTAGCTTTACCTACCATGTTTTGCATGCATTTTTGGGGGGTTACCCTTTTGGACACACAACAAAAACATTTAAGGTTGGAAATTGGCAAAATAGGGTACAATTTTACTCAAGACAGCAGTGAACACAGCTCTTTTCGTCCCAACGTGGACTTACTGCTGTTTCTGATCGATAATGCGTTAAATTTTGTGCAATTGCTACTTTCTAATAACTTTCGTATTTTTACAAGTATGACAAATTCTGCTGTTTTGATCAAATCAGCCAGTTGGTTTGTATTAGATTGGAATTTTAAAGGAAATTCGATTTTGAGAATTTGGCTTTCCTTGATAAATAGGCAGTGTTCAGCTGCATGTGGATAAAGTGCAGACACTTGAGGCAGATCTACAGATGCGTTGCCAAAATATCCAAGTCATTTACTTGCACCATAATGACTCATGAAATGAGCATATAAATCACTAGGAACATTGTGACTGATTTCTAACTGTACGCTGACATGCCAGTAAGGTAAAGAAAGCTCCAGTAAACTTCCAAATGCATTGCCAATTATTATGCGAGAGTTTCGCTTGCACTAATCTGGCTCGGATAACAATGTTGGCTATATAAGGAAACTTTGGTTTTAAGAAATAATTTTAGGCCCTTAGGATATTTTTTTACATCAACTACCCTAACAACACCACCGTACGTTTGTAAGGGTACACATCCAAATTGATTTGCCTTATTGTAATTTAAAACTGATATAACTAAATAAATATCTTAATATGTAGTTGTTAAAAAAATAATTAAATGAATATCTTAATATGTAGTTGTTAATTTTTTTTTGTTATGGAAATGTATGATTTATTTAATAAGAATACAAACTGATGAACTATATTTTTTATTATTTATTTTACAGGTTAAACATGGGATTGACAACCCAGCAATGCTTGAAAACGGATCTACAGAGCAAGTTTGTACACCGGAAAAGAACGAGAAGAAGTAAGTAAAATAATAATTTCACAGCTGTAAATACAAACTCGCACTATTCAGTTCCAGTCCAGATAACTTGCTGAAATTGCATTATGGTTTAGCTAAGCCGAAATATATTGGGAGAGAAGGAAATTCGGAAAACCCTCAATGTTTACAGTTGAAGATCTGAAAATCTGCAAGACTTGGGCAATACCGAAAAATATGTGTACCTAAATCTTCTCTCTCTAAACGCTGTCGAATGTGTTACAATCACCCATAAATGACTAATTGTAAGGCAATGATAAGGCCATGCTAGGGAGAAACGTCATGTGAACCCTGATGATTGGTGATTTCCTATGATGAAATACAAATTAAGAGAAAAAGTTATGAATATTTTTTAAATGCAATTTTACCTAAAATGTCTGAAAATATCAAGGAAAATATGAATAACTGTCCTCCAAAATAAACTTCTTTCAGGGGACATTTGGCGTCGCTCGAATGTTCAAACATCGTTTTACTTAGCACGTCAGTATTGCAGATTTCAAATTTGCTTCAATTTTTATCTCCCGCTACAATTAGTGCCATTAGACCTTTTTTTTTGAGCGAGAAAAATTCCAATCAGAGTAATTATGGTTTGGATAGACATACTCACTCCGTTTTGTTTGATATTTACCACGCCATTCCCAAATACGCTCCGCACTTTCGCGACTGATAACGTGATAGCCGTTCCGCAAAAATTATTCCTCATTCCCAGTTTCTCCTTCCCAGCAGTCAAACTCATCAGGCTTGGTGTTAAAATAGTGCATATTAGACGAAAATTAAAACATGGAGGAGCAGAAACCTTTTATAATCATTGAACAACCACCGTAAGTACGATTATACGAGACATGAACATTCTTTTGAAATGTTTTGACAACACGCAGCCGAATATTGTCTTTTTAAATATCAGACGCGCGGAAGCATTTATCTTTTCGATTCAATTTAAAGTCTACACATCTGATCCCCCAATTTTTCAAAACACAGCAGTTGAAAAATTGCCAACCGAGAAAAGAAAAAAAAACTTTGAAAATGTAAAATTTAAGAAAAGAAATCTCCATTTATTGATTCCCGCAACGTACTTTTTTATTAGATTTTATTGAATGACGCATTGAGGTTTCATATCTGGCATTACCAATAAACGGATAAATGCGTATTACTAAATTTTCACAAAAACGTGCAGATTCTTCGAAAATAGACGTTTTTGAAGAAATAGACATCCAAAAAATAATCACCGTCAATTATTTTCGTGTACAAAAATATTTTCCTGATTATTTATTTTTACCCCTGAACTTGTTTTTCATGAGTAATGTCTTAAGAGCGTGAAAACTTAAAATTTTAGCACCCGTCTCCAATGTCATGGAATTATACACTCCTTTCATCCACACATTGAAACCCTAATCTTATTAAAATTCAAAATTATCGATCCATTCGATTCATTTTTTTTATCCCTCTTTTGCGTGCAAGCAGCTACTTATCTCCATCTATTGTTGTTGTTTTAGGGTTTCAGAATCAAAGGAAGTTCTGACAAGGATAACCGTAGTAAAATCTCCAAGCAGCCTCGAAAAACCTCCTCTTGATGATGAATACGACCCCTATCTACACAGAGATGTTAAACACCCAACATCGTAAGTAACATAACTTCAAACTAAGTTTGCACATATTATTAATCCTCTGTTAAAAATCGTCTTTAGATGAGATAGTCAGTCTCAAAAATATCGATTGAGTCACATGCACTGAAATATGGTATGCTGATTTAGCACCTGGGATGTCTGGTGACCCTAAGATGCTGCCTTGATTGCCACGCAGTTGACTTTGCACTCACAGGATGTAAAGTTAACTGCGGGGACAGTAATGGCAGCATCTTGGGATCACCAGACACATTTTTGACATTCCATGTGCTAAAACAACATTTTATTTTTTTCAGTGATGTCGGTGACGGAAGTAAACCAATTATATCCAATTACGATGTTGCAAATCGATATCCATGTTGTATTCAGATTCTCTTGAACATTTTGGAGAATTCTTTCACTCGTATGAAAATTTTCTCAGGGAGCTGAGGGGAGATTATCAAGCAAGTTTAATTTTTTTCTTTTTAAGAAAAAGTAAAAAAAAATTGGATATGTTTAAGAACTGTTGCAGAAATCCACATTTTTATTTTTTATTTTTATACCGATGTATTTAAATGGATGGAACCCAATGTTAATTTTGCCAACTTGCGAAACTCGAATCTGTGGACAGTATTTTCCATTAAGAAACTACTATCTCTGGCTCTTCCGTAAAAACACCTATCTGTATAGGGAAACTAGTGTCACGCGCGTTGTTCCAAACATGAGCCGGAAAAATTAATTCCTTACTGCAAAATGCAAAGCAGATACAGTAACTAAATTAATGAAGACCAAGGGGCAGTAGAGGGGTCACACCCTGGGTGGACCACTACTATTTATATACACTTGCAACAAAGTAAGCAAAACCGAGGAAATAGCACCGTCTTGGGAGAGTAAACACTCGAGCGTATGTCCGTCTGCTTGAAGGGCCGCAGGCTAAGCGGTGACACAGTTGACGTTAGTATAATCTTGCCAATATTTCTGCACGGCCTTCTGGTGCCTGACGAAATAATTGGAAAAGTGAGTGAGTTAATGAATACCACCTTTGACTCGCCAGGAACATAAGAACACTACTTGCGAATACGATTATGAGAAGTGTGAAAAGGAAAGCTATTGCCTTATACCACTGCGGACTGATTATTGAAATTGATAGACAAAGCTGTAGATAAAGGAAACCAAAGGAAAATAAAGCGATCCTATTGGTGGAAAAGAATGATTCTCATAGGCTAAGTGGGAGACTCATGGACTAACTGGATTGCATTTTGCAAAAAGGAACCACTAGCATTGCAATGATGCTAAGATTGTGCAACTTCATCCTTTGCAATAAAATTGCGGAAATTGTGAAAAACTATGAAATTTATGTGGTAATTTTTGTCTTAAATTTACAGTTTTTAGCAAGTAAAATAGAAACTATTAAGGGATAATCGGGTCTTTCCTCCAAGACAAAAGAAGTTGCACAATCTTAGCAACATTGCAATGCCAGTTGTTCCTTTTTGCAAAATGCAATCCAACTATAATAGGGCCTCTCGTGGGTTGCTGTCAGTAATAGTCTATTCTGCCGTGCTAAGGAAGAACGCCGTATGAACTTCGAGAGTTGCCAAATTTCCCTTGATAAATATGTATTTTTGACAACATTCATGCATAATTTTCCTTGAAATTTTCAGATATTTTAGATAAGAGTGTGTACAAAATTGTCTGCAAACTTTGGAAAATAATATTCGCAACATTCCCAGTAAATTCCGTTTTTATCGAAGGAAACTTGGCAACGTTTGAAGGCTCATACGGCGTTCTTCCTTAGCACGGCAGTATTACTTAAAATCAGTTATTTTGTCTATTGCTGCATGAGTTCTCCTCGACCCCCCCTCCCCCGTTACGTAAGAGCGTTACGTAATTTAGGGACGACCCCTATCTACAAGCCATGTATAATTTTTGATCCAATCATGATGCAAATGAATTTGTTTCCAGATACTCCGACACATTCTTCCATATGCTGAAAGCAAGTTTAGGAACAGGAATCTTAGCCATGCCCAACGCTTTCCACAATGCTGGATTCACAGTTGGGACGATAGGAACGCTCGTGATTGGATTCTTGTGTACATACGCCATTCACTCTCTGGTGAGTCCCGTTTCATTTCCTAACTTCCTTGATTCAATGGGACGTATGCTAAAAGAAACTATGTTACACGCAAACCCCCTGCACATAATTCCTTCTACATATAGAATGAATTAGTCCAATTAGTGAGGAAATTCTTCGATGCGTCAAAGACCGATGCTCTTATTTTTGACACACTTCTGATTACCTCTTACCTTAATTGTCAAAGATAAGGCTTTGTTTGCATTCTCCCAGATTCACATTGGCTTATTAATGGACTTAATTTGAGGCATAAAACATTCATGAATGGCAGTGGTGCTTATTTTCCTATGAAATTTTTCTGTTTTCTATTGTCTCGTAAAATTATACCTACAAAAATTCAATGCTGATGAAAAAATAGTAAATTTTTCAGGGCAGTTTGCTACTGTTTATAGGTCGTTTATAAAATACGTAACGCTGTAGGAGGGAAGGGGTCTAAATCTGCGTTTCAGTTGCATTGTAGGTGAGAAGGTGGATCCCAGGTCTGAGTTACGTAAATCTGAAATCAGCGTTTAACATCGATCTTGCATAGATTTAGGATGAATGATCAATGGGAGATGACAATTTTTCGTGCAAATTCATCAAAAAAGTTGAAGAAGGGTAGGGGCAAACAAAGCAATTTTTTTAGAGGGCGGATATTTGTGTTACAGCGCACGGTGCGTTACGTGTGAGGAAGCGGGAGTTTAAAATCAGATTTTTTACGTTACGTATTTCATAACCGGCCCCTGATGAATTTTTATCTGAAGCAGGGTGAATCATAGTGGAAAACAGTGTTGTCGATTTTTTAATACAATTTCCGCGGATATTTGGTCTGGTACTCGGAGAAAAAAACTTCGTGCATGAGACCCGAAGTTGAGGTCATATGGACCTCTGAAGTTTTCTGATCAGGCATCTGAAAACTTGAGGTCGAGCTGCCGAAGTTCGGATCAGACATCGAGGCACTTCGGTATGTACCGGAGTACTTCAGATGTGTGACCCGAACCCTTCGGTATACATCGAAGTACTTCAGATGTCTTACCCAAACTTCGCCAGCTGGACCTCAAGTTTTTAGATACGTAATCCGAAAACTTCAGAGATCCATAAGACCTAAACTTCGGGTCCCACGCACTATGTTTTTTTCTCCGTGAACTGCGAAGACATCTCCTTAAAATTGCAAAACTTCGAGAGTGGCAGGGAGTTTCAGGACGGCCGACGCTTTCATTGATTCGTCGCTCTCCTGACATAAGGGCGTAACTACACATTGAGATGAGTCCGGAAAAGCATTGAGTTGTATGAACAACAGGGTTCATTGCAGAGTGGAGTTACGCCTTTATGTCAGCAGAGCGACAGATTTTACTAAAAGCACTCAGCAGTTCTGACAGCTTGTGAATAATTTTGGCTCGAGCAGCATTAGCTGTCATAAGAATGTGGAAGAATCTCCAAAAAATTGCAACACTGGCAAAGAAATAACAGATAATTGCTAGCACGTGTGAAGATGATCTGATACCAGGGGAAGGGGAGGAGAGCGATTGGAAATTGATCGTGCAGGAGGATTATCTTAGCTGCCTGCGTGGGAAAGGGATTATTCGTGGGCAAATTTCCATCGACGGAACCAGAGGCAGGGCATTGATGATCGATATAATCGATATTTCCCCATTCGAACCTGTGGTAAAGAATCGATTTTTAAAGTGTCCGTTGCGAGCACCCTATTTATCGATCCTTATCCATAGGTTTAAATGACAGATCAATCGATATATCGCAAAGCACGCCACGCCACTGGACGGAACTCTCGCTCGGAAAACTAATACAGTAATATGAGCTAATTAAGTCGTGCAATCAGCTACTGAGATGCTGCTGCAAATTATGAGCGATTACATAACACATGCAACATTTGGAAAAATGTCTTTTTAACTTAAATTGAGATTCAATCTAAGAAGTAATTGGGTAACAAATCAGGCGAAATGAGTTTGCTTGCAAAAAGAGAAACTCCATAGATCTTCAAGAGAAACCGAGGTTATCCGATTTATTGTGTTTTTAGTTGAAATATTCGGGCTATTTTTGTGTACCTATTATTGTCGTACTGTACTTTCCGTAGAAAAAGGAAACAGAAAATTGGACGAATATTTCAAGCAAGGAATCTATTTACGATGCAAGTGTGCTGATGCTGAACTTTTCAATCACTAATACTTGCTGCTCAAACCCCTTTCTACTTGCAGCACTAAACGTGCACGGAAAAGGAAAAAAAAATATAAAACTTGAAGAAAACTTAATGCCTTGATTTTTATTTTAAAGAAGTGGGAAAAATAACATAGACTAAATCGATAGGATTTTTAGTACCTATATCATGCTCATATTATGGAGAAGCTAAATTAAATACCGAAAGTTTCGTTTCTTTTTAAGAAGTTTGTTTTCTTATTATTCGGTCTTTACCTTAGATCACTCATTTTTTATTTTTATTGGCACAGAAATAAGCAAAAACAAAAATTACTCCCATCCGATCTGCCAAATCGATGAGTCGGAGGTTTTCTAGTAGCGATATTTTTGACAGCTTTATGCCTGTCTTGAGTGGCTGTACTCTTTGCTCAGATCCATACGTTGATTGAATAGTGCGATTAGAGTCAGATCTGTATAGGAGGTTATAAATCAGCACAGCAGGGTTGCCAAAATGCATGTTATGATAAAATGCAAGGAATAATGCATCAAGGATGTTATGTTTTGATTTTTGACAGATCGGCGCAGGATATGAACTTTGCAGGCGGCGAAAAGTCCCCAGTATGACGTACCCTCAAACGTCGGAGGCCGCCTTTGAGGAGGGCCCCCAATGGCTTCGGTGGTTTACGCCTTACGCTGCGTAAGTTGATTTTCCCCGCATGTTTATTACGTTCCAACGCCGTCTAATGGACCGAACCAATGGGAGAGGTCGGATTTTTACTAAAAATGCAAATATAGTTGTTTATTTCGTCAAGTTTTAAATTTTCAGGGATGATTCTTACAGATAATTTGACAAGAAAACCAATGTGACCATTTTTAAGACCTCCAAATTTTGTAAAAATGGAGTTATGAGCTTTAAAAGTTTCCAGATTTTGTCTGACCTCTCCCATTAACTCAATCCACTAAGCATTCAAAGTGTACAACCTTGAAACAAATGATTATTGAGATTGAAAACCAAAATAAAATCAATGGTCCACAATTTTGCTGAGAATGGAGTCCTCTGCCTTATTTCTCTATGGATCATATTTGATATTGGTTCGATATATCGTTTGGTTCAAAACAATAGAACATAATCTCAAACAAAAATTTTAGGATTTAAGTTGGAAAAGCTGAAAATAAGAAAAATTCCTAACAATTTCATTTTTAATTGCCATTTGGTACTCGAAAGAATAAAAAATCTATCACAGAAGACTCGTTCTCTTAGATTTCTAAATAGACTGTTGAGGCCATGTTTAACCAATCGACATCAACACAATCTCACCTGTTCGATGTTTCGAATACGATCTATTGGTCACCAATTCAGTCAATACTGAATTTAAAACCTGTCTCGTTTGGAAATATCTTGTTTAAAATTTGTTCTGTGATGCAAGCAAATGACGCACTGAAAAAAAGTTCGGTCGCATGAAACGAGATTTGGGTGTATTTATACCAAAAGGAACTGTGTCGTACACAAGCCCTATGCATATTGTTCCTTTTAGCATGAATACGTCCATATAGTGTTCTATATTACCCCTAATATTTAGTTTATCGACACAAACTCTCGGTTTGTGTATCGAAAGTTCGGATATATGACCAAACTCCGTTTATCGGTTCACTTCCCCTGCTAAAAATGGTGAGTACAAATGAGTAGAAAATCAAAGTCATATGAAAAGAATTTCAATTCATATGAATAGAATTTCAACTCATATGAATAGAATTCAACTCATATGAATAGAATTCAACTCATATGAGCAGAATTTCTCTATTCACTTTTCGCCGACTCATATGACTAGAGATTCCAACTCATATGACTAGAGATATAAACTCACATGAGTTCAGCGTTGAATCTACCATGTCCGATATCTCAGAAACTATTCACCGCATCCAAAAAATTATTAGAACAAAATGTTCTTATTTTTCAAATTTACGTCTTATGTCGGTGTCACCTGGTAAAAAACACTACTTCTGAAAAATGAAAAAAATTGAATTCATATGAGTTGAACTTTTCTACTCTTATGAGTAAAATATTCTAGTAATATGAGTAGGATTTCTACTCATTTAAGTAGGAAATTCTACTCATGTGAGTCGGCGAATTCGGAATAGCCTATTCATCATTTTTAGCAGGGTCACCGCCGCAGTTCGGTAACACAAACCAAAAGTTCGGTTAGACAAACTCAATAGTTCGGATGATATGGAACGCCAAACAGCCAGTTTATGATCGAACTTTTGTTTTCACCGCGTCTTTCTTCCAAAAATAAAAGCTGAAAACTGACGTCCATCTTTCCCTTGCTCGATCAAGTTGCATTGATGAAGATCCGCCTAGGAATCAATAACCTTAACGAAATAAAGAGGACCTGCGCTAATACCGTTCACGTTTCCGCATGGGCTACTCCCATCAAGGATGTCTCCAATTTGCGTAATCCTAACTGGTTTCGCTTTAGTTAACAGAATAAGTCACCTTTCATCTCTTCGTTTCAGGTTCACTACCCAATTGTTCCTCATATTGTACCAAATCGGAGCAAGCTGTATCTACGTCGTTTTCATGGCCAGTAATATCAAAGCGGTACGTACTTTCTCATGATCTATGCGTATCGATATGGCCCAAGTGGGAAACCATGTATCTCAATTGCGGTGTTTCAAAATTTTATTTTTTCAATGAGAAACTAGTCAACTTTTAAGATGAAAACTTTTTAGATTACTCCGCTTACAGAGAAGAAAACTCATTGAAGCTTTCGAAATAATATAATGACTAACTTTCTAAAGAGAAATCAACATATAACAGGAAGGCTGGAACGTCACAAACGGGTTATACGTTGGTTCGGACTTAGGTCATCGATAAAATTTTTTTTATAAGAACCGTTCAAACTCCCTACAAGCGCTCTGCTTCGAATGTAAAGACATGTTTTGAATATGTTTGAAATGTGAAATGTGTGACCATAGTTTGAAAATTTCCAGGATCGGCTCAGCTTGAGGATATTTGATTTGCCGAAAGCCACAATCATCACTAACAATAAGACTGTTCCGGTATAGATTTTTTAAAATTACTGCGGCATGACTGGGAAAATTAAGCATTCTAGGAGCCGCCAGTAATATTTATGCATAAAATTTTATTTCGATCGAAATTGTGGGTGGCCGGCGCGTCGCAGAGAACGTAGTTTGGAAAAATTGTTTGCGTAGATAGGACCATCTGACGATCTTAGCGGAATTTAGTATATAGCAATAAGGTAATTTTTATAGGATGATTGAAAACAAACAAATGGTAGGAAATAAAACATAATAATAGGAACTTTGCAAAACGATAATCCAGGTATCGGAACTTGGCTGTTTTGAAAACGCCTTCAAATGCGGCGTGATACCTCACGCATTCCGGAGAGTTCAAATAGTTGTATCATTGCGCCTTAGAAATGCGACGGAATATTACAATTGAAATAGCCTTCATACACGCTGGCCTTCCCAATTTCCTTTGACATTTTAGCAGTCGTAAATGCATAGTTAAAATGCGCTCCAGCCAGAAGTGTATTTAGCAAATAAGTAGTTTTTATAGGAGGATTAAAAATCATCAAGTGGTACAGAATATTACAAAATAATATGAATTATGCAAAACGATAAATCGGGTATCGGAACTTCGCTGTTTTGAAAACGCCTTCAATTGCGACGTGATACCTCACGCATTCCGGAGAGTTCAAATAGTTGTATCATTGCGCCTTAGAAATGCGACGGAAGATTACAATCGAATAGCCCCCATGCACGCTGGCCTTGTCGATTTCCATTGACATTTTTGCAGTCATGAATGCATAGCTTAAGTGCGCTTCAGCTAGAATTTTGTGGTGCATGCTCCTCCGAAATGAAGATGGAATTAAATGCAGAGGAAGCGGAAAATGTGAAAATTATTACCTTGCAAAAACAAGTATATAGTGGTGCAGTGCACAATGTACGTTTTCAGGAAAGAAAGGAATATCAAAGCACCTTTATTTTGCGTGTATAATGGTTTAAGTAAACAAATGCCATAGTTGCAACATTTCAAAATCTTAGATCATGCTTTATTTTTTAGAAGGAAAGGAAAAAAATATCTCATCGAAATTTACTTTATTATATTTAAACGAGTGATGACAATTCTGTGAAAAATACAACATTAGCTTAAGTTTTCAACGTCGCAATAAGACTCTCTAAATTCTAGCCTCTCATGCAGCATGATTATACCTCGAGCGTGAACAGTGAAGTATATGTATTAGTTTCTCGATATGAAACTGAGGGCTAGGGAAGTGAAAACGCCTTCAATTCTTTGTATGTGCAAAACCGACATCCCTCAAACACGAATAGTTGCATGCAGTGCGCCTCCATTCAGAGTCTCGATCATCACTAGCGTCATCAGAATGAGCCCTTTTCAATGACTCGCACGCATGTTATTAAGCATTTGAGGAAGTAGATCATGTCTAATTCTATATCTATTTAAAGAAATCTATGTCTATCTATTTTCTCAGGTTTGCGACGAATACTACGCGGAAACAGACGTGCGACTCTACATGGTTTACATCCTGATCCCTCTCATTCTGATCTGTTGGATTCGGAACCTGAAGCTCCTAGCACCGTTTTCTTCGGCCGCCAACTTCGTGACCATCGTCAGTTTTGGAATCACCTTCTACTACATTTTCTCGGATATCCCGCACATTTCACAACGACAGGCTGTCGGAAAAGTGGAGAACATGCCGCTGTTTTTTGGAACAGTGTTGTTCGCCATGGAAGCCATTGGAGTGGTAAGTACATGCAGCTTTAAAATGAAGTATTCCGCACAGAGTATGTTTTGTTATTTGACAATCCTATCTTATTCATAGGAGAAAACTTTAGGCCGTATTCATAGTTGTCCTAACTCCTTTCGTCATGGAGCCTCACATGCTTCATAAATAAGAGAAAATGTAGCAAACCCTTGTTCCGTTTATTTTTACCTACGAGGCCTTTCGATTGCACAGAATTCAATACAATTGTCACCACTATCAATACTAATCACCGGTATCCATTGACATGAATTGATGTTAAGTTAACACAGCATAAAAATCCAAGGAACGTATGATAAGCACTAAACCTATCATGTAGGTCTATGGCAGAGACTTACAATAGCCTTTTTTTTTGGAGTATTTCTTTGAGTTTATTGTTAATTTCGACTATTTCTGTCGAATGTGCTGTGTGTCTTGAAGTTGGATAATCGTAGCCTGTAAACTGATGATCAACTCGTAACTCGTTTTCTCAGAGTTATCAATTTTATGTGTGGCATTATTTTTACTGTCACTCGATCCCGGGACAAGAGGTGATTGCGTTTGATTAGGGCCGCGTAATATTGCTCAGTAGGATTTTTTAACCCTGCTCTGCTCTTGGGAGTTATACGTTTTTTCCTCTTTTTTCGGAGGAGGAATTGTTTTTGAATAATCGCAATTTAATATCAAAATATTGCGATTTTTCCATTGAAAAATGAACGTATTTCTATCAAACGGAACTGTGAGCATTATGACTTGAGCCCTGTTATGCACATATCCTTACGGGTCTCAGGGCTCATGTCTGAATGCACATAGTTCCGTTTGATATAAATACGTCCAAATGATACTTGGGTCTCTTGAATAACCTTACGAGCCAGTAATTTCAATGTTTCCGTATTTCACGATCAACATTGAATTTTATAATATTTCATATCTGCCGCACATTAGTTTCAAAACATTATATATATATATATGAGAAATTTACCTTATTTATTCAGCTTGCAGCCATAAAAAATCGAAACATTAGTTCCTACGCATCCGCAACGTTTCGCCCCGCATATATATACGGGGGTTATATATATATATATATATATATATATATATATAGTTATTATATATATATATATAGTTATTATAATTTTGAGACATTCAGCGACTCAGGCTATTAACGTCTTTACAGGTAATTTATATATATATATATATATATAAATAATATGTATAATAATAATTAATATATTTTATTTGTCAAAATTAGTAGGTAATGAACCGAGTTTTAATCCAGCTTTTTTTCCTGCAGATTCTTCCTCTTGAGAACGAGATGGGCAATCCGAAAAGGTTTGCAAGTCCTTTCGGCGTCCTGAATACTTCTATGATACCCATTACTCTTCTGTACACTTTTGTTGGGTTTTTCGGCTACATGAAATTTGGAGAGAAAGCGGAAGGAAGCATAACTTTGAATCTTCCGAAAGATGAAGTGTAAGTATTACATTATTGAACGTTGAACATATAACTTTAGATGCATAGTTTGTTTGCGAGACTGAGATTTCACTCACGAGAGAATTCAGTAAATACTAAACCTAGTGGCAATAACAAACATGGCAATATGGAAAACCGAGGCTAAAAAACGAACAAAATGCCTGGCACCAGAAAATGAAAATACACTAAAATTAACAAAATCAAAAACTATCAGATTCCCATTTGTGATGAAGAGAAAAAAAGAAAAAAATAGTATCATTATTTTTCCCCCTTTTATCGAAAATAGGGATCAGAGAGTTTTTCATTTTCTTTGGTTTGATTATTTTTAATTTTTCTGGTAGATTAAGGGACCGAGCTCATCCTAAAACGTCTCAGCTATTTTGTTTGTTTTTTAGCATTGGTTACCCATTTTACTGTGTTCGTTTTCAGTTAGTTATTCAGGATGCTTTTGAGTATTTTTCTAAGCTTAGTATTGATACATTTATTTTAATAATTTGAAAAAAATAGGAATAATAGAAACAAGCTATGATTTTTTCCTCATTTTCACCAGAGGGTGCTTCATGATAAAATTATATGAATTTGTAGACTTGTTCTTGCATGTTTCTGGCTAGAATTTTCAAACATTTTTCGTGCCATTAATTTATTTTAAAAAAGTATTTGTCAAGTTATAAATGGTCGGGAACCACAAGAAAATATTACAACTTCATGTTTATTATGTTGCTCTTTAATTGGTTTTCAGGCTAGCTCAAAGTGTGAAGCTTATGTTGGCTGCTTCTATCTACATGTGCTACGCGTTATCTTGCTACGTAGCTTTTGATCTCATGTGGAATGGATGGATTGCGGCTAAATTGGAGAAAAATGAACATAAAACATTCTGGGAATACGTTACCAGGACCTCAATTGTCTTAGTCACATGTAAGCCTTTTTTCATCACTGTGTTCAGTACATTAGAAATCAATGAGTACTGATGAGTATTATTGAGTTCCTTTCTGACTGGAATTTGAATGAGTAGAGCTAGTAAAAGCCAAGTGAGAATCACTATCCGTCGACAATAAAAAACGCCTTCAATCATGCGAAATACTTCCCTGCGAGCATTCACTTCGGAGCTCTTATCCTGCTTTAGTGGCCATACACGGTATCACTTTAAGTCCTAACTCCCCGATAATTCTTTACGAAATTAAGGTAACGATTTGAAAAATGGGGGAGGGACTTTTCCGAGGCCAAAGAAGGCTATTTCTTGGCCCTCTTGAAATTTCAAATTGTCCCCTCAGGCAGCGGACCCCAAAAATTTCAAGGACCCCCTTTCTTCTCTTCAATAGAAAGGACTCCCTTCCCCTTGTGACACCTTATTCGAGAAAAAATAAAAAAAGGAAAGTCACTTGTGCAAACTTAAAGTCATTCTTTGCGACCGTTTCAAAATGGCACTCGACGAAGTTCAAAATGGCCGAAAATTGACATTCGGTGTTTTGCCGATTGATTTTCCTGAAACTCAGGTCTGAAGGTATTATGCCACGAGAAAAAGAAACATACCGTCAGATGCTAAAAGGAACCGTGTCCCACATGAACCTTATTCACATTGTTGCTCTCAGCATAAATACGTCCCGTAAATCGGATTAAACCAGAAATAGATACTTCTTTCATTTCACGTTGCCTAGCTGTTCCTCGTGTTTTATTTACGTTTTTATACAGCGGACTGAACTTTATAACGCAATGACATTTTTCGCGAATTTTCCTCACAAGATTTTAAGTCTCAAGGATTCTTAATTTGTCATTCAAAAAATAATATGTAGAAGAAAATCGGGGATCGTCCACTGGAGAAAAAGTCGCTTGGATCTAGAGCCCATACTCTTAAAAACATTGACAAGAAAAAATACTCTTGATTCAATCGGATTTTTCCTCGAATCGAAGAGCCAAGGCTCTTGATTTAAGCGGATTTCCTTTTGATTCAAGCTGATATCCGAATGAATCAAGAGTATTTTTTCTTGTCAATGTTTTTAAGAGTCTGGACTCTAGATCCAAGCTACTTTTTCCCAGTGTCTGACACTATTCATGTCATCACTTTCCATAATTATTTCAAAGATTCCCCGGATTTTGATCTCAATTTTTCCAATGTTTCAGTCACCCTGGCCGTAGCCATCCCCAACTTGGAACTGTTCATCTCCCTGATCGGCGCCCTGTGCCTGGCCACGATGGGCATCGCCTTCCCGGCGATCATCCAGATGCTCACCTTCTGGGACTACTACCGCGGCTTCAGCTTCGTCCTCTTCCTCACGAAGAACATGATCCTTATCCTCATCGCCCTCCTCGGCTTCTTCATCGGCACCAGCACCAGTCTGAACAAGATCTACCACGAGTTCTTTCTCAGCTGAGACCTGAGAGCGACCTCTACCGGATCCGAGTGAAACTAACCGCCACCCTCCCGGGAGGCGGCCGCCGCGTCGAGACCTGATAGTCACCAACCGTCTAAATTCCCCCGATGAACCCCGAGCTCATCGGCTCCTCTCAATTTCCATACAGATGGAGCTAACACCCCCACACGGAGAAAAGAAGGTCTGAAACCCGTTGTCCCGAGACGGACTAAGACTGAAAGATTTTAGATAGCCGCCTTCGGGACGGTTCGAGTCTTGAGTGCGACTCTCGCTCTGGAGAGTTAGGTCGGACTTTGGAACTTAAGGCTTTACTGCTTAGGATTTTGAGTCCTGCAACCGTACCCGCACTCCGTCGTTTTGGATTTTAAGCATCGGCGTGGCGTGCTTTGCGATACATCGATTGATCTGCCATTTAAACCCGTGGAAAAGGATCGATCATCAGGGTATTCGCAACGAACACCTTAATAATAGATTCTTTACTGTAGCTTCAAATGGGGAAATATCGATATATATCGAAGCACGCCACGCCACCGCTTTTAAGCCAAAGTTGTTTTCTCTGTGCTCTTTAGTTTTGTTGAGTTTTATGTGCGCCAGCATACGCAGTGGCGGCTCCTGAAAGTTGGCAACACTGTTTTTCCTGGATTTAAATGTATGTAAAACAATCGATTCTTGAGGAGGCAGCTTGTCTCGCCTCAAATCGATATTTTCGATGGCTTTAAATGGAGGGAAAGCTCTGTTGCCAACTTTCAAAATCGCCACTGTGCATACGACGTTGGACTAAAGCAAGACTGCGATACTGCCGTGCTGAGAGGAAAAAAACGTCGTTTGAACCTTCGAAAGTCGCTAAAATTCTTTTTATGAAAAATCAATTTTTCGGAAAACTTATGTATATATTTTGTAAATTTGTGATTCAGTGTAACTAAAAATTCCAATAAAATGTGTGTATACGTTTTTATCCGGAATAAATATTGTATCGGATGAAATTCAGCAACACTCGATTGCTCATACGATGCTCTTTCTCAGCACGTCAGAATAGGTTAAGATAAGTTTCAAACTTTAGGAAGAATAATTTATTTAGGCATCCTGAAAGGATTTTCCTTTGTTAATTTATACTTTAATCATTCATTCTGATTTTTCTTAATTTGTAAATATTGAAGCTTTAAATCTTTTATATATGTATTATACATCTGAGAGTAAAACAAACAGTCTTGCGTTAGTCCAATGGAGACTGAATGCGTTGCGCGTGCAGAAGTTGTTTTTAAATCCAAATCTGCCTCATTTTTAAGTTTATAACAAAAAGACCGAACGATTATTTTACTTTAATTAGACCTATGCGCACTTATCTTGTTGATAATTTTATATTTTGTTTAGTGACACTTTTAGAACAACGATGCGCTGACATCAATTATTTTAAGAGATATTTTATAAATGAAGTAAACACAATACAATACCTGAAATCAATAAATTATTTTGACTCAAGTTCTTTGATAATTTTTTATCATCCATGCAGTTTCCCTTTTCTTAAGATTTAATATGGAAGGAGATTAACCAAACCATGTAGGAGAGGAAGCGTAATGCCAGTACATAGAATTTTGAAACTTCATTACAGTTAGTAACAGCCTGCAATATGGAAATACGAAGCAAGGGATAGGACGCGCGTTGACGACGGCGCAGAGATTAACTATTTATGCTTGATGGATGTCCGTGTTGCATACGCAAAATTGAAGGCGCTATAGCGCTAAGCGCGAATTTGCAATACTCCGCTCAATGCTGCCAATGAGGTGTCACTTGTATTTGGGGGAGAATATTTTATATAGTTCAAGGTATTTAATGTCACTGATTGAGCCATGTATGGTGATTTTGCTTACTTTTGATCTCAATCGGTGGATTTAGACTACCTAAATTTCACCGAAAAATTCGACTTTTCGAAAATTTTAGCAAATAATCACATTTTATTCCACCTGTGAATCAGAGTAAAAATTAAAGTCTTCCTCGATAGGTCGCAGCGGGAACATTGATCATATTGAAAACCCAGCGACGCCATCTACAGTCCTCAGATTTGCCAATGGCGCCATATACGGGTTCTTATAAATCGGACTATATTTTTTAATTATAAACCACTATTTCTGGCTCATTTTAGAAACATCGTATGTTCTATTAGTTTCCCTGCGCAGATAAGTGTTTTTATGGATGAGCAAGACTTATTGGTTCCTTTTTCACGAAATGTAGTCCAACCGATTGTTCCGCGACACAAAGAGCTGACTTTCACTGAAAGAAAAAAGGGCATCCTTGGCAAAAAATAGCATAAGTAGTATTGGCAAAAGTTTGAGCAAAAAGAAGCACCAAGAAAGCTTAATTGGAAAATATGATAGTGCGCAGTTCTTCGATAGCTTCAATTTCAATGCATGCTAATACAATTTTGAATATAGGCACATTCCATTTGCTCATTTTAATTTTCCCTGCGTTAGGTAACCAATTAGCATTTTTTTCGAATACTTTGTTTCAATTTTTGAAGTATGCAAAGATTTTTCTTTGAGATTTTCTATAGCACAATATTCTTTCGGATAGAGCCTCCATCTCTTGCTTTTTATTCCTTCCACAGTGTAATTCAAAAACCGCGCTACTCAACTTGATCCGTAGATTTTTTTTCCGACTCGTTTCTTTATTTCGACATTAGGCCCGGAAAGCTGGATGCCTACCGGTGACAAAACAATGGTAACTGATTAGAGACCGTAAAATTACTTCAATTTACCGGTCAAATTATTTGAAAGTGAGCTGAAAAAAGCACCAACTGCTGAGTATACATGGATCAGTGAGTTGCCGACGACATATCTGTTATGACATATCTGTGTGACATATATGTGCACTTACGCTTTCGTTCAGTTTCATCCTCAGAGGATCAAGCTCTAATAACGTGAGTAAAAGCTATGAATATTATATTTGAAACCTCATGGGACATAATCAATGATTTCAAAGAAGTCAAGATGAACGATATTTCACGACTCACACTTTCAATGTTCCACTACGTTTTCACAGTTTTTAGACGTCGAGAAAAGTGTGACAAAGACATTAATAAAATTTCTTATTGATAATAAGGAAAACATGCACGTCTAAAGATCATCTTATGTAATTAGCATGTATCATCTTATCGGTGGTTAAATTACATGCCAATGATCAGTGCCCTCCCATTTTGTCATAGTTGAGGTGTCAAATGAGCAGATTAAGATAATACTAGCTATAAATATCGGTAGACTTCGCCTGAAATGGATTAACAGCTCTCGTGTTTTTATACGGCATTCACTCTCAAACGCGATGTAAACCTCGTGGTTCAATTCATATTTGAACACGGGTTCTCAAAGTGCAGACCACGAAAACTTCGTATGGAAAATTTGCGATGAATAATTTCGCGCTGTTGACTGCCTTGAATGATTTGACAAAAATTAACGCGGATAATTCTTTTTCTGTTTAACTTATTAAAGAACAGCATATTTGGGATTTCATGTATGTATTTCCTGGATCATGTCGCATATTAATCATATCTTGGACCCATACTTATTTTTGCTTCGCTGAATTATGTTTGACTCTTATTTTAAATGTGTTTTTTCTTTTATTTTTTTAAATAGATTGTCTGTGCACATTTTTATATTGATATCGTATCGTTCGTTCTACCGTATACTATTCGACTGTAACCCTTGGCCTATGTTATTGAAAAAATAGGAGTCTGTTATTTGGTCGTGTTAATAGAACGGCGGTAGAAAGGCTGCTAAAGAGGATGTTTTTGGTTCAGTGGCTTTTATGTATAAGTAGACTCGACATTTTACTTCTCATTCACGTTGTGAAATTTTACCTCTGAATTTACATCTTCGGGACACCAGCCTCTTTAAGAAAATCTAAGTTTAGGAAAATACCGAAGTTTAAGAACCCTTGGTTCTTCCAAAAAGTTTATGTTTCTAACTCGTTTTTGGACTGAACATACTTGATCTATCAAGTGAGAGTCATGCTGCACTTCATGGATGAAAGCTGCGCGGTCAAAATAATTCCCAATTAAGTTTATTGGTTGACAAAACCACCCACGTGCTAGCGAGCGAGTCATAAAGATAATGGCGAGGCATCTACGTAGCTGATAAAAGAATTAACATATTTAAACTCGAAGATACCTCATTGTTTGAAAACATGACAAGGGTTAATTTGCATTTTTCCATCAGTTTGGCCCGTTATTTTCGTATTCGCACCAAGACACAACCCATCCTAGAGTGGCCATTGTTAAACTGCATGTCTAGAGCTAATATTGCTCTTCAAAACGTTCCTTCTAATTCTTTCAAATTTTCTACCTCACAAAAATTCACGAGAAAAGGTCACCTTCACACCTGAATTTTTTGTGCTGAGTGACAGTCTTCTTCTCTTCATTGAATTATTGATTTTTTTAAATTTGATTTTGGTTGCTGCATCTCATAGTCACAAGTTGGATACAATTTTCAGGTAAGTAACATTATGATATTGTCTGAAACACAAAAGAATGCCATCATTTCCTGGAACTGTTGCCAACAAGTTAACTACATTTTTTTTGGACCTGAGTAATGGAAACACTAATAAAAAAATCGTTTCAACGGAGACCGAAGAAAAACATGCTATAATGATTGGGAACTGAATTGCACATCTATTCGGTTCCGTTGTATTGAGATCTCCTCATTTTTCACCGATGTTATTACTTAAGATATCAAGCCTAGACAGGGGTTTTGACAACCTAAAAGTTCAAGAATATATTATAATAAGTTTTGAAATTTAATGTGCCAGTTTTGGGAAATCAAGATTGCCACATTTAAATGCAACCCATAGCATTCTACTGGTCCCAACATTGAGTTTAATTGCTCGCTAAAAATTTTTTAGGGAAACCAAAAGACTCCTGTCGAAAAATTAACTAACTTTCCATTTTACGATCCGACTTGACAATTAAAACTCTCAAAAAAATAAAAAAAAATAATAATAATGAAAAAAACTATACCTTTAACCACTGAGGTTGGTCGCCTTTAATACGATTTCAATCAATTAATGTAATTGATTGCAAATAATTATTAATTAATTATTTACATCTTTCATCTTAAATATTGCGTGTGGACATATTATCGCAAACCTTCCGCGATATTAATACTCTAGAAATGTATGCTTTAGCTATACTGACTGGTCCCTATCTTGGTGTTCGGGTCATCCTGTCGGCAGTTTTACTGCATGATGCTATCACGAGAGCAGAATTTTTCTTCAGTGATTGAGAAGAAATTAAATATTTATGTTCTGCCAAATTTCTTTTTTTTCCCTGACTCACAGAAGGACTACAAGTCATGAAAAATGCGTTTCAATAAAAATTCAGATTCGCAAGCAGCCATCGATGTGGAGGGAAGCGATAGTGTCACCAACAATAGTGATGACTACGAGCCGCATGACCAACTACCTCCTGCGAAATCAGCCTCGTAAGTACCCAAAGGATGCTTAAAAATTTTCAATTTTTACCATACGCAATTTGTATGTAATTATTAATGAAGCATTACTGCTGATTTCTATGTAAATGAAAAATTAAAATTTCCTTTTTTACCCTTTGAAAACTTTCGAATCTGAAATAGAGGAGAAAATTATAAACAAAAATTTGTGATTGCATGTATACTACTACTCTATTGGACGCATTTATGCGAAATGGAGCCAGAGCTGAGTGGAAAAGGAGGGAAGTGCTCGTTAGTTAAGGGCTGTACAAATTAATGGGAATTATAAAGCGCCAGTGACGTCACAGGCGACGACAGGGACGCGGAACTCGACGTCGAGGTTCTTTAAATCATGAGCCCTGTCCAAAACGTTCTTGTCACTTGCCCACGGCTCATGACCTATTAAATATTGACACTTAGTTTTTCTTGATTTAACATCAAATTCCACATTTCTATTTTGCCGAAAAGAATCACGCCCACTTGTACATTGTTTCTGATGCAGCTCGCATAAGCACACCCCCATCTTTCCCACACGTCTCTAGTTCCTTTTAGCATAAATTCGTCTTATATTAATACTGTTACTCTACTCTTTGAATAACATACTCAAGAGTTTCAATATTGCATATATCTACATACCCATATAATACGTGAAAATTTTTCTTATCTTTTTATAAACAGGTATATCGAGTCTCTATTCATTCTGATAAAAGCGACTTTAGGAACTGGAATCCTGGGCATGCCCAGAGCCTTTTACACCGCAGGGTATGTACTTGGAGCTGTCGGAACACTTTTCGCTGGAATATTAACAACAGGGAGCATGATCTTAATCGTAAGTACATTTTAAATTAATATGCATTTCAATTTAAAGCCTTTAATCTTGTATTTACAGCATTTTAAATATTTGACCATTACGTAGAGTAGTTTTTTTCCTACGTCATTAAATCACAAGTCGCGATAAATTAGTATTCGCCGGCTGGTTGCAATCGCTATTTAGGCTGAATAAAAAAATTTAAAAATTCCGAAATAAATAAACTATAGATAAAGACTGATTTTTGTGCTCGGAATTGAAACAGAAGTTTTCTTGTCTTGAATGTAAAGCACCAGCCTGCGCATACCTTCAAATCGGTACCTGCTGTTAAACGGGTGTAAGTTCAAATAATCATGAGCCTTGGCTTTCGTTGATCACGCAGAACGCTAAGGCTCATGAGTTTTTGGACTTAGGCCTGCCTAACGGTTCAATTAGGATAGGTATCTAAACTATCTTCTTAGCAAAGCGGTGCGTATCACGGAAAATTGAAGGCGTTCGAAGCCAAGATCGCGCTCTTGATGTTCATTACTGATGATTGTCGACATTTTCTGACTGCTTTTGCAAGTTTTTTTTTTTTATTCTTTTCTAACAATTTTTTGCAGGGCAAATCAGAGCATGAGCTTTGCAGGCGGAAAAGAATCCCCCGTATGACGTATCCAGAAACAATGGAGGCGGCATTTGAGTTAGGCCCGGGATGTTTGAGGCGATTTAAAGGCGCTGCAAGGTGAATACTGGTCATAATTTGATAATTTACCTATTTTAGGATTTGAAATCACCTGACACAGGAGAGAATTATAAAACGGTATTTTATAAGGAGAACATAGTACAAAAATTCAAACTGAGGTCCTGAGCGGGTGACCATTTGGAGAACTTGGAATGACGGTAAAGTTGCGAGAAAACATTTTGAACCATCACAAAAGATCGTATTTCATGCGCTCTTAAAATTTGGAAGTGTCGGAAAAAAATATTTTACTTTTCAACCTTAGAGCTAGAATATATTAATTTGAATACGATTCTTTGTGTCTTCCTTTTTTAAATGAAAGTAATTACCTGCCTCACAAAAACCATTACCTATTCTGCAAAAAAAAAAAAAAAAAAAAAAAAAAAAATTTAATTTTAATTTTGGGGAAAAACTTTCATCTGGACCTGCCAAGTAATGCCATTACAAGAAGCACAAGTTAAAGTGGAAATTGAAAAAGTAAACTAAACCACAATTTACACTTAAACAACTTCAACTTTTTTTCTCAGGTTCCTAACGACAACTGCAATAGTCATGTTGGAATTTGGCACGGACTGTGCGTATGCGATTTTCATCGCTGTAAATATTAAAGAGGTACGTCACAACGACAATTTTGTTTACGGCCTCTCAAGATTATCGCATCAATGTTTAGGTCAGGCTAGTCACAGATCGAGGCAGTCTTAATCTCCTTTTTTTTAGATAATGTCGATGCCATTACTTACTATTTGACGAAAAACTTTCCAAACTTTAAACGTCGCACGTTTCCAGCGCGATAAATTCAATCAAAAATGCCACAGAGGTGGATCCAGCAATTTGGCAACACCGAAGTTCCTCCATTTAACCATATACTAAGTAATCGATTCTTGTCAGAGCACCTGACTCCTCCAAGAATCGATACATTTCCATAGGTTTAAATGGAGAAAAGACAATGTTGGCAATTTGCTAGATCCGCCAATGCCGAACAACAGGAATTGAATAGGGCAATTAAATCTTTCCCTCTTTTGTTCTCTGCATAATTTGGGTATTTTTATGCGCGTTGATGCATTTTCGATTCGATTGTTCCAGACAGTCCGAAAAGCAATAATTTTTTTATCAAGGGAATTCATGCAACATTTTTCTGCTAAATATGGTAAATTTACCCATACAAGACGAGAATACTCTGCATTGAAACATAAAGAAAAAGTATTGTATCAAAAGGAAACTTCCATTGAATATTCCAAAAGGACTCTAGTTCGTTCCAAAAAGAGTTTTACGAAGAAATGAGATATTTCCCAAAGATATTCCGAAAGGAAATTAAAGTTCTTTAAAAATAGATATATTTCCTAAGAATATTCGATGAAACTTCATCTTGATTTAAAAATACATTTTTCACAGTCTATCAGAATTTTTCTGACGTACCAGAAATGTTTAGTCTGGCATATTTTACTCCAATTCTCTTTTAACGCGTTCTTTTTGTATGAAAAAATTAACAAAATAATGTACGAGTGAAAATCGAAAAGAAGGATACACCTATTTTCCTCAATCGCCACTTAACCTTAAGGATTTCATATTCCGTGTTAGGAGTATGAGTGTAACTTAAGAAACCAGGTTCGAACTGTCATGCGCGAAAAAACCTTGAATATTAGCTATCTTGATTATACACTGAAAGAAAAACTCCGGCCGTGGGAGCCGCAATTACGGGCTATATAGACATACCGTCCGTTCCGGGCACAAAGGCCTAAAATACCGGCTGCTGGAGCCGTAACTTTGGCCTATGAACCCGGAGCAATCGAAGCTACGCCTCCAGCAGCCGGAATTTTCGGCCTTTGAGCCCGGGGCGGACGGTATGTCTATACAGCCCGTAATTGCGGCTCCCACGTCCGGAGTTTTTTGTTTTTCAGTGTAGGTAAAATTAACTTGATTAAACCAGGTCAATAAAAGCAAACCTTTTAAAGCCTCCAAATTTCAAGTAAAGTAACTAGGTATGTACTTTTTAATTTTTCCAGATCTGTGAGCAACACTTCTCCCCCGCGCCGCTAAGATTTTACCTCTTGTGCTTACTGGGACCACTAATCGTGATGTGTTGGGTCCGCAATTTGAAGTATCTGGCCCCAGGGTCGACTTTAGGTAGTTTTTGCGCTGTCGGGTGCGTCGCTGCCGTTTATTACTACATATTTTCCCAACCAATGACGCTGGAGGGGAAAAAAGCGGTCGGGTCTGTAAGAGACTTCTCTCTCTTCTTCGGTCAAGTCCTCTTCGCTCTAGGAGCGTTTGGTGTGGTGAGTTCAATGCATTCGAAATTAAACGATTTAAAAATATTTTGAATTAGGTTAAAAATTAGCGGAAAAGGGCACCATTTTACAAAAGCCAGTGTTAGACATGGCCAAAAAGCGCACTGAAAAAAAATTCACGGCGTTTTTACCAAGGTCCATTGTACCTTTACCATCTCACTTTTGTTACCAATTATTGGTAATTTTACCAAGACAGACTGGTACGCTTACCTAAAAACCGGTATTTTTACTGTTTTGTTTAGGTAAGAATACCACTTTTATTGGTAATCAATTTCCAGGTAACTTTGCCATTTTATCTCGGTAATTCTATCACAGTCGATAAAAAATATTGGCGTTTTTACCAAGGTCCAGTAAAATCACCGAGAGATTTCAATAATTTTACCGAGATTTCTCGGTAAAATAACCAATTTCATAAATGGTAATTTTACCAAGAAAAAACTGGGATCAAATAGAACCCCGAATTCTTGGTAATTTTACCCTTTTCTTCGTAAATACACCGATATTTTTTTTTCAGTGCGAGGCCACGTATCTCCGTTTGCAACGTTGCAGACTTCCTACCGCGCTTTCTTTTTTCCTAAGAAGACTGGTCAAAGTAATTTCTTCAAAACTTATTAATTAGTTCAAGAAAGAAGAACTAGTAAGAACTAGTAATTTCAAGAAAACTTCCGTAATATATCTTCTCCGTTACCAGAATGTTTTGTATTGACATTTTAAGCTATAATTTTTACTAGATTTTCTTTCAAATAAAAAAAATAAAAATAAAATAAAAAAAAACTAGGAGCAGAGATTTGGAAACTGCGCAATTGATGTACGTGGTCTCTTACTTTGGCAAGGAAGCACTGGTCCCTTCAAGAATAATGAACACATACTTGATTTGTTCAAAATAACGTCAATATTTGCGTATTCACTATCTACCTTCTCATCCTTCTTTTTTTTTACCATCAAGACGATCGCTGTTACAAATAAATTAAATAAGTTGATTTTTTAAGGAACTCGATTAAAACAATTGAGCGCTATTGCTCTCCTCGATAATAAGACAGCGCAGCAGTTTGACAGTAATGATTTTTATTTTATGTCGTTACAGGTCGTGCCTTTGAAAAATAAGATGACAAGACCGGCACAATACGGATCGGTCTGCGGTGTAGTTAACGCAGCAACGATCCCAGATATATTTCTCTACATCATCATCGGCGTTTTTGGGTATTTGGCTTACGGAGAAAACACACAAAACCCAATCACTTTGAATATGCCGCAAACTGGAATGTAAGTTATATTTTGACAAATCAATTGATCAAAAACAGGTATATTAACAATCAAATTTCTACAAACATAGGGCAAGGGCATACATTACATCAATAGAATGAGAATGTACCTGTCGGTACTGTGAACTGTTGCTTCCGTGCCAGAAAAAACCCGGATACCGAGTTCCATCTAAATCGCCCAATAAACCACGCGGAGGTATTAATATTGCGCCATTTTGAAATGGTGATAAAAAAAACCAGCGGTTTTAGCCAATTTTTTTTCATGATCTTTCTAACAAGGCATCACAAGACGATGGTTCCTATTTGAAATCCGAAAGTTGCCCCCCCCACCCCCCTTCCTCGGAGGGCGGGGGCGGGAGTAAACAAAAATGTGTATACTTTCATTTGAGAAAGTTTTGTCTAAACCGCGTGTCAATATCTGCAACGTTTTTTGAGGTATTAACATGCAGGTATCCATATTTTTCATCCATCCTGCATGAGTATGCAATTTAAACCCACGATCCCCCCTAAAATTGGTTCTGGATCATTTTAAGGTCCAAAGTGAAAATTTAGCGGAAAAATATGTAGGAATGCATACTGGAAATTGCTCAACTCCTCCCTCCCACCCCATTTTAACCCCCCACCCCCCCCGTCATCTTAGAAACAGCTGAAATTTTTTCCTGAGATATGCGGCAGTATAACATTTAACTTAGCGCAGGTCCCGATGGCTGAATCGAGGGACTAAAAATAGGCGATTTTGGCTCCTTTTTAAAAAAGACTTTTTAATTTCTGAACGTTAGATTGAGGAACACCATTCAAGCTCCACTGAGACAATAGAGAAAAACTGGTATCGTTGCTTGTGCAAAAAATGAAGAAAATAAAATGGGAAGATAACGACTCAGAGATGCCTCTAATTATTTTAAAAATATTTAACTTGAATGATTTCGGATTTCAGCGTTGGCGATTTGATTCGGATTCTGTTAGCGTGCTCAATTTTTACGACCTACCCTCTTTGCAATTACGTTGTGATCGAACAACTCTGGCACAAAAACTTGAGGCTATGGCTTGGTGATGTCAAAAATCCACACCAATGGGAGTACGCATTCCGGACAGTTGTAACGTGCGCAAACGGTTAGTAAAAATAAAAACTATGCACTCACAAAATTCCGTAATTTTTCTCTTTAATTATATTGGTTCTCTCTTCAAAATGTCATGATTTATTGTATTGACCGATGTCAGTTGGACGTATTTCTGCCAAACGGAACGATGTGCATTAAGACATGAGCCCTGAGACCCATACGGATAGGTGCATAACAGGGCTCACGTCATATTGCGCATAGTTCCGTTTGATAGAAACACGTCCAATTAATTGTGAAACGTCTGTTTAAAAGGCAGGCAATAGTCTCTCTTAGGAATTACGATGAAAAATTAAGGTCGAGATACGTGTTTTAAATCAAAGAAAGCTTTTTACTCAAGAATACAATTGGGCTTAAAATAAATTTTAAATAGTATATGTGGTAGTTTTTTGCCAACGTGCGTTAAAAAATCAGCATAAAGCTGAAAATCTCAATACAGAGGGAAGAAGCTCATATGAGCACAATTTTCCCTCAAAGAGATATGCTATTCGATGCAACACTAGTTATACGTCCCAAGTCTCGGGCTGGTTTTCACGACCTCTCGAGCTCGGTAGCAGAAAATTCAGGAGGCTGCACTGCACTGAGGATTGGCCCAACAAGGCCGAACCGAAAAGCGTCTGCAGTTGCCTTCCTGAATGGACGTAACTAATGTTGCACCAAACAGCATCAGGGCCGGATGAAGGGGGTGGCCACATGGGCCGCGGCCCATGGCGGCAAATCTAAGGGGCGGTAAAAATTTGCAATTTTTTAAAGTGTAGGTATAAAGAAAAAAAATCAGATTTATAAAAACAAAATTACAAACGAGAAAAGGCGACCAAATCTCTCATTTCTTGAGAGTATAGTAATTTCTAATTTTGTCGTCTTTTAGTGACACAAGTGACAGCACCCTCAATAATTCGAATTACGAGAGAAACCAAACACGCAATTTGGCCTACAACGGCGCGACTTGGAGAGAAATGATAGCGAGGACTTGAGATGAAAAGGAGAAACCCTCGGCGCGTCGATCGGCATGTTACACATATTAGCGCCTACAATTGCGGCAAACACAGTGCGGTCAGCGTGAAACGGATAGCGCCTACAAGACTGCGTGAATACTTCTCGCATTGCGTCCAACTCGGTGCGGTCTGCGCGGCGCGGCGGTGGAAGTTAAAATCATTGAACCACATTTATGTTTGTTCTCTCATAATTTTTTCGTTCATTTCTTGTGAATGGAGGGCCTTGTCCACACAGAGATAGGTTTACGGAACTTAACTTTCGCGCAAAGTTCCAAAGTTTCGTGAACTTTTGCTGGTAGTGTTGACAGGGCTTTCCCCAAAAAATGTGTTCAACACGAGTAAATGCGTTTTATGCACCCCTCTTATGGCATGTTCTTTTGATGGTTTTTATCGAGTTTCGAAACGAATGAGAAGGGGGCGGCAACATATAGGCGGCCCATGGGCGGGAAGTAGGAGAATCCGGCCCTGAACAGCATATCTCTTTGAGGGAAAATTGTACCCATATGAGATTTTTCCCTGCTCCGTATCGAGATTTTCAGCTTTATGCTGACTTTTTAACGTACGTTGCCAAAAAACTCCAACATACTGGCTTACGACTCGTACGTCCACCGCAATCAGTTTGTACGATTTTTAAGTTCAGAAATACTTAATCCTAGTAAAACACATGTATTTGAGGAAAGAGAGAGGGGGGATTTTAAACGATTTCATTGTTAGCTTTCTGTACTTATGAATGAGATTTGTTCCAGTCCTTTTTTGTATCGTGGTGCCAAGCTTGGAGTTGGTGATGTCCCTCGTGGGATCCCTGATGGTGCCGGCACTTGGTCTCTGGTTCCCGGCCATCATGTACACACTCACGTTTTGGAACGAGTACAGAGGTGTGAAATTCGCTCTCTTCTTACTCACATCCATCGTTCTCGCTTTGACCGGTATGTTCGCCCTTGTTGTATCTCTGAGCACCACTCTCACTGAGATCTACGAAACTGTTCTCTAGTCAAATTGATCTGTGTATTTTTTTTATTCTTGTTGTAAATATAAACCCTTTTTGCTACCTTTTTTTAATCTTAAGATATACCCTGAATTAAAATGAACGCACTGATAGTGGATAGAAATCTATGCAGGATTAATTAAGTCAAAAGGAACTTCGCGCATTGGATTTCTGTTCTCACAATTCCAGTTGATTTAATTCGGTTTCTCATAGTTTTTTTGTCACATTAATACGTCCAAATGTGTAAAAAAATACAAAAGCAACTTGGAAAGTGTCACTGGCTGATTGGGAAAAATCCCAGCAGGTGAGCAGTGAGCCTTAGTTTGCTATTCAGAATTTGAACAAACTGTTTTTCGAATCACAGTCATTTAGCAGCACATTTTAGGCAAATATTGTTTCCATATTACCATGGAAAAATTACTTTGTGGAATCTCTGATAAAATATTATCAAAAGCGTCCAAATGTCTTAGAAAATCTCCAATAATCATCAAATAAGTGTTGCCAGATCGTGTTACTGTCAGTTTTCGTACCTCTTCCTGAAGTTTACGTGTTGGAATAAGCTAATTTCTATGTTAAAAAACAATAATGGACCCTTTGAAAATGCAACAATACTAAATTGATGGTCATTGCGAAGATAATATTAATTCTCTGAGAATCATTTATGATATTTTTCACTTTCACTGGAGAATCTTAAAACAGCAAAACGCTTATCTCCTGCATGGCTCCTTTAGGAAATATCCATCCAGCTGGAAATCCATCCAGAGAAAAAACAAAAACAAAGCAATAAAGCAATATATGAAATAACACCAAGATCATATAAAAAATACTTTTTCTTCTAAAATGGCGGAGGAAACAGAAAAACACATCAAAATCCCTATCCTTCACTCCTTCCAAAAAATTAGAGAATGAAGTAGAGAATAATCAGAATAATAATTTGGTAATAAGTAGGAATAAGTGCGCAGTAGGTAAATACATACTTGTTTTTTATAATTAAGGCGGAGAAAACTAAATGACCCAGGCACACGAACGAAATCACGTCACTGAATGACAATAATATCCGTGGTGAGGTAACGTTTCTCGGCATCACAAAACACCAAGGGGAATAAAAATATTGTATCTCGCATACATCATTGTGGTGCCATGTGGTAACACCGGGAAAAAAATTCTTCATCCTAAGCCATAGAGCACAATAGAATCGCTATGCACTAGAGCGCCGATGAAGTCGCTTTTGGAGGCTGTTATTTCCGGTAATTCTGAGACTAGTGTGCGGCGTCTGGCGATGCCGTATTCGCGAAGTCTCAGCTCCGGCGGAAAACGACTCGCAGCCCACGATTCTCCAATAAGCCACCTTGTTAAAAAAAATCCCGTTTGGTTCAGTGGCGTAGCGTACTTTGCGATATATCGATTGTTATGCCATTTAAACCTACGGTAAAGAATCGATTGTTAAGGTTTTCGCTGCGAACACCCTGTTAATCGATCCTTTTCCATATGTTTAAGAGGCATAACAATCGATATATCGCAAAGCACGCCACGCCACTGGTTTGGTTCACACTTGGTTCACACTTTTGGCGAACAGGAGGCTGGGAATGGACTTTCCCAGGGATTTATTGATTTCAGCAACGTTCTAGTACATAGCCTCTCTAGTCCTAAGCAACCCGAGACCATCATGAACAATCGAATGATTCATCCTTGCTGACTATCTTTTCCGCACAAAGTACATTTGTGGTAATTTTCCCGATTATCATTGCCGCACAAAATCATTTTCGCACAAATAGTTTTCTGTAGTATGTGGCAACGCCGAGAAAAATATGTGGCATATTTAAGAAAAAAGAGGGAACGAGAATGATTTTGTGCGGCAACAATATACCACAAATATGCTTCGTGCGGAGAGGATATTCTGCCTTCATCCTTATTACGATGTTCACTTTCAATCACAGCCTCCAAACTGGACCTACAGAATACGTTTAGAGTCAATTTAGGCGGAGGGCTGAAATTGTGGAATAGATCGATGAAAAAAAAACCTTTCAATTTTATTCATCCTTTTTTCTCTCCAATCGCGAAACCGCCGAGACGGTTCGCGCACGGTGGGTTGCGCCAAAACCGGTTTAGGCAATTTACGTCCATGAATGAAATTTATTAACAGTGGGGAATATATTTCAGAGACTGTTTTCAGTCCCTACACCGGCGTCTATCGTTAGTCTGTGCTAGTGCGTGCTTGTAGACTTTTCCTCTAACGAGGGCTCTTGTATATTTTGCAGACCCAGCAATTGTGAAAATGGAGGTATTTTTAAGGATATTATTTTGAAAATTCCTGTTTTTTATACCGGGAAAATATTTTTACAGAGTGTTTTTTTCAAAGTGTCCAGCCTACTTTTATACTGGTCGATTTTGGCGCCATGCAAAGAGCAAGTTTAAATCGACCTGGAATTTTTTGGTGGAGTTTTCTTGAAATTTTATTGACAACACTATAGGTTTAGTATGATCGATTCAATTTTATTCGAGAGTCGGCACCCCCTCATAGGCAAATCCAGATACTTTGAACAAGAGGGGCGGAAGGGGGGTTTGAGGGGCTCCTCCGAGAAAATTTTCGAAATTTTGAAGCTTCTAAAATGCAGTTTGGGTCGATCCCATCATGAATAATTAATAAATAAGCACACTTCCTTCTTCCTCCCTCCGTCTCTTCCTGCTATCTACCCTCCCTCTTTCGTCTTCATTTTTTCGAGGCAAATGGGCAAATACGTTTTTCTTACGTTTAAATGTGTGTAAAACAATATATTCCGCCCAAAACAGGCTGCTTCAATCAGAATCGATATTTTTAATGGATTAAAATGGATGAAATCCGGTGTTACCAACATGCAAAAATCACCATTGGTTCTGTTTCATCTGAGATGCAAAAATTGTAACTTCATATTAATCACACAATGTGTATAACCTTCTGTGGATAGATGCATCTGAAGTTGTCAAACATACAACTTAGTCATATTGAATATTTCCAGAAGGTTATTGAGTCTATCAAAAGTTTCCAAAAAATGCATGCCCAAAAATGAAGGTAAGTGAAACGTAGGTACATACGCTCTTTCCGACCCCTTTATCCGGAAAATGCAGCTTTTTGTTCTCGCCGTGAGAACAGTGGCGCGCGAGATTTGAATTTCGGCAACTGTGCAATCTTGGCCGAAAACTGTTATGACCATCTGCCTTTGATAAAATCGTACTAATTCAGTGCAAAAAAATTCCTTAAGAATGCAGATTCATGTGCCTTCAGTGAGGTGGATCCTTCTTCATTTTTATCAATAGCAGATGGTCATAAGAGTTTTCGGCAAAGACTGCTGCAGTGGCTTCGAGCAGTAGAATCCACGAAAAAGTTGGAAAAAGATCACTGATTAAACTCAGTCACCTAAAAACATTTTATTAAGACGCAGAGTCTGGGTTTTCGTTAGCATGGGAAACACAAACGTTGTCGTTGGAGACGGTGTTCTGTGCTTTTTGTCCAGACAACAGCTCCACTGAAAATTGCAAGAGTGAGGTAAAATGATGTCGTACTGCGTTGTAGCTCCTGAGTTCTCTTGCGAACGCAGTCAGCTCGGAATATCAAAGGCCCTGATTGGTTAGGAGGATTAGGCCGCAAGAGAGAAAGGAAGCTGAAGCGACGCTATCCCCAATTTCCACAAAATCCCTGAAATCAGTCTCGTCTTACAATTAGCTCACAAGCTATCCTGGCCAGCGGGCCGATTATTGAAACTGATAGACAAAGCTATAGACAAAGACGACAAAAGAGATTTGGAGGGATCCTATTGGCGGAAGCAGGTGGTGGCAATGGACATAGGAGGTAGGTAATGGACTAACTAACGGCAACTCACTATAGACCCGACAGTTAGTCCATCATTTTCTCCCTCAGTCTATGAGAACCAACCCTCGTCAACCAATAAGATCGCTCCATACTCCCTATGTCTTCTTTGTCTATCACTTTGTCCATCAAGTTCAATAATCGCCCCGCAGGCCGCGGATTGGCCCGCCGCGTCGTGATACAAACTAACTCCGCGCGGGAGGCGCGTCCCAAACAACACAAATTGCAATAAATTGCAAATCATATGATACAATTATTGCAATTTTATCGAAGTGTTGTGTATGTTGCCTATCTCCTGATCGAAGGAACAATTATTCTCATTGAAATTTATTGAATTTAACATGGAAATAAGTTGCAACTTATCATATGATAAGTTGCAACTTATTTCCATGTCTGACACGTGGAGCTCATTTTGTTGATTGTTTAAAATCGGCATTTATGGACCATATTATGTAAAAACATTGCAATTCCATGGTAAAATAATTACAATTTCATTGCAATAAATCGCAATTTAATTTCAATATTTGCGTCGCACTGTGCTAATGAGAAATGAGTTTTGAGTAAGTCAGTCTCGATTTGCCTCGCTAGCGATTTTGGCCAGACTGCATATCGGCCTGCCCAATCACGATCCAACGAACTCGTGTGCATTTCGAGCAGTAACTTGTTAACTTTGTCGTTTTTATTCGAAGTCTGGAAAAGAAGAGTTTGACAAAATTTTACTATAAAAGTGTTGGACGAAATTGTCAATTGTCAAAAAGTGTGGTTATTTCGTCATAGTTATACGGTCCTACCTTCCCTTCGCTCTGAGGAGCAGCGAGGCTCCTCGCAATATTCTAAAGGTTTATTCTCTGCAATCGTCCTAACTTTTGAATAATCTTTTTTCAAAAAATGAACTATTGAATTGCTTACGGCGGGTATGCTTTTAGGAATTCAGTTGTGTCAAGGACCTAGATCAGCAGATGGTTCAACTTTAATTAAGAAATTCCATGTGCCGCGCGACCGGCAGAGGTTTTGAAGTGACATAAAATCTCACCTTAGTCCCACTACTTCTCTGCATTACTCTAGTACACCAAATCTGTCAGTATGTTATCAATCAAACGAAAGTTGAAATTGTTAAGAATGTCTACAAGAAATAAGAAACTAATTAACGCCAAAAGGACTGAGTTTTTTTTTAACAGGGGCAGAGTATTTGTTTTAAAAGCATATTTTTTAAAAAATATTTGCGTATAACTTTCCCCTGATTCTGTGCAAAACCTTCAGATTTCCGATACATTGTTTCCCTCTTGACCGGGCCACTTATCACTTGAAATAACAGTGCTTATTTGAGTTGGTACAGTATACAATTTGACGGCATAGGTGCAAAATAAAGGATTAATGAGTGCGAGAGAGATGAGATTGAAGAGACAGATGACAGATGTGAGCTTTCGCATCTGAATTCAAGAGGTATGATAAATTCAATCAACTATTTTGTTATCTGCGGATTTAATACTACTCAACTTTGATTTTCACCTTGATTCATCGAGAGAATTAGAAGACCAAAAATCGAGTCGGCAAGTGTGTCACCCGGTTTTTAGCTCGAGATCCGTTCCGGGTTTCTATACTTTGAGTTTTTTCCACCTGAACTCCTGTTTGATAATTGTGTGTGTTTATATCAGTCTAAGTTGTGCTAACGATATATCGACAACTAAAAACTGATTGGCTCCAGGTGAAATGTATTAAACGTGGAAAATCCTCCAGGTGGAAAAATAGTTTTTGAAAAAACAAGACCACCTCCGTCCAGTTGCCGATTCCGGTAAGAAACGGTCATTTCTTCACTCATTAGTTTAATATTACAGGTGATTTGTCCGTTTAATTTTTTCATACTGGAAGTCAAGAAAGTGAGGGAGAACCTATACTTAAGAGCAACTCAAATGTTTCGAAGTTTTCACCTGGTGGCCTCAACAATACCTGACGTTATTTCCAAACTTTGGGTGTCACGAGGGTCTCTACTTTCAGTAAGCATTCTGGATTTCAGTCAAAGGGATACCTGACACAATACAAAAAGTCATCTTCAGTAGATTATTAGTTTTCCAAAAAGTTCCAGAAATTTGCATTCGGACGCACAGTGAGCTCATAACTACAAAAATCCGGTTTCCAATCTAATAGATCTCGTACTTATCAAACAGGACTTCAGGCTGGAGAAGCGCAGAGCAGCACCCGGGATAGAACGAGAGCTGAAAAGTGCGGGTGACACGCCTGCCGAGTCGATTTTTGGTCACCTAATCCTTTGTTCAATCGATGAACCTGAGTAAAAATCAAAGAAGAGGATTTAAGTGAATGAAAAATGACCGCTCTCGACCGACTGAGCACAGGGGATAATTTCATGAGCGCCGCCGGCCGCGGCGCACTATGGTCCAAAACTCAAGGATAGGAAGAAATAAGTCGGATAATGACTGAAAGATCACGAAAGTTTCGTAATTGCTGTTCTTGTGAGTCACTAATTTCGAATTTGATGTCAAATTGCCGACATTTTAACACCCTGATCTATTAATTGTAGGCAAGTTTATGGCACGCTGCGGCGCGGCGTGCTGCCAGCCCGAAATGCACACTGACGCCTACAAACCTAAAGGGATACTACAAGCATTGCGCAATGCGTGAAGTAGCCCTTTAGGTTTGTAGGCGTCAGTGCGCGTTTCGCGCTGGTAGCACGCCGGCGCGGCTGTTAATTGACTATCGCAACCCCCCCGTTTCAACCAATAAGATCGCCACGATTTCCTTTGTCTCTTTGTCCATCGCTTTGTCTAACTTCAGCAATCAGCCCGTTCCTCTCCTCTATTTCCATGCCTATTTTTTTCCAAGAAGAAATGCTACCTCAATAAAATCCAGTTGAATTACCCCGACAATTTAAAAAGATTTTATGTTTTAGCTGAGTTGGAGTCGTGACAAGATGGGCTACTCGCAAGCGGCTACTGATGAAGATTCAAACAAGAAAAATCCTGAAAATGGTGAGGATTACGAGCCGTACGATCATGAACCCCCCGGTAAAACTGCCTCGTAAGTATTTTCAAAGTGTTAGGACGGTTAAGGGAAGACACGGAGATCTGTTTGTAATAATCGGTAAATAGTTATCGCAGTAAATTTAAGGTCATTTTAGGTTGGTTCAGAGATTTTTGAGTAAAAGGAGTGATTTTTTTTCTTCTTCTTCTTCTTTTAACTGCACGGATTTTATTTTGATGCAAAGATACGTTCAGCTCACAAATGGCTTCAAAGTATACAGAAGAGTAATTTAACTCTTGGAAATTCTATCGACGCTTCATGTAAAATTATGCGTTTTGGCTAACATTAGCTAATTTATATAATTTCAATCACACGTATGCTAATCATAACATCCATAATAAGACACTTTCATATTCAAATAACAAGAGACCGCTAAAAAAAATAATATGTCGTCTCAGCATCTAGGATGCCAAAAATATGTCTGGTTATCCGAAGATGCTGCCTTTACTGCCCCCGCAGTTAATTATACATTCTGTGAATGCAAATGTAACTGCGTGGGCAGTCAAGGCAACAACTTGGGATCACCAGACACATTTTCGACATCCTAGTTGCTAAAGCAGTGTACCATTTTTTTCAGCACGGGATAACGCATGGATCAATCTGAAACGTTGCAACACTCACGTAATTTTTTAAATTTTTAAATGAAACTGTAGGACCATCATTCCTTGAAAATTCACGACATTTTTCCTTTTTACGTAGATGAAAACAACCACAACTTTGAAACAACGAAACTGTTTCCCTTTTTTGTTGTGCATAATCCTGCAATAACTGCGCATAATCGTCGATAACGGATTGAATATATATAATCTTTGACCATTCTAGTTATTTATGATCTGATTTTGATTTTTTAGCTTGATACTTATATGTGTAAAATATCAAATAAATGGATATAAATCACATTTTACCCATGGGCATTAGCCAGAGATTACTGAAATAGAGTCACAAACAATGTATCAAGTACGAAATAACTATTTTTTTGCTAATTCAACAGGTACTTTGAGGCTCTGCTCATTTTGATAAAAGCCAGTGTAGGGACTGGCGTCCTGGGCATGCCAAGGGCTTTTTACAACGCGGGATATATTCTTGGATTTATGGGAACCGTTTTTGCTGGAATTTTAAGCACAGTCACCGTTCATTTGATCGTAAGTTCGTAGAAATGTATTATTACAAGAATTAGGTGTTTCATTGAACGCTGAGGCATATTGACGGTGGAACTACCAAACCACGTACTCGTATCTCGTTTGCTGTGTTAAAAAATCTCTGCTTTAGTTGAATTTCTTTGAGGAGGACAAATAAATATCACATTTTGAATGTTTCCACAGAGTTTTATTCGCACAGAGAAGAAACAATAGCAGTGACTTTCAACACAATGTGCTGATGAAGCGTGCTCGTGTATATCAACATGAGTAGTTTTCATTTACAGAGATTTTATTGTAAGGAAGTAGAAAATGAAGGGAATGCGCGATCTACGACAACTCTGCCTTGCTAAGGAATAACGCCATACGATCATTTTGAATGCCACAAAATTTTCCCTGAAAAAACAAGTATTTTGGAGGAAAATTCTGCATGTTTTTCCTTGAAATTTTCAGATGTTGTAGATTGCATCGCGAACCCAACTATCTGAAAAATTGGTAAAAAAATATTTTCAACTTTCTCAATAAAGTCGTATTTCATCAACTAATGTTGGGCAACTTCTAAAGGTTCATTCGGCGTTTTTCCTTAGCCCGGGAGCTGATGTCAAATTGTCCATACGAAGGTATACCAAAAAGTAAGTTCCTCTATTTTATTTTTCAGAAATTATCGTAGATGAAGCTGTGAAAACGATTTTGTAAACCATACCCTCAGCTTCAAAACGAGCGAAAGTTTTTAAAACTTGGTCAACGTGTTGCTAACATTACTAACTTTTCCTGAGCGCATCATCCTCTCTCGGCGCGGGTCTTTTTATGTCCACTCCTGAGTAAGCGCTTTGAAGGTAAATGCTCGTCGCTCTTCTCATAAGCGGAGATCTCCGATACCTGCGTTATTGCTAATGTGCATGCCTCTTGGTGTTGGCACGATACATTTCCTGATAAAAATAAGATTGCCCAAGCCATCATGAATGGAACATTCGCTTGCATCTTTGTTGCAATCAAATCAGGGTGTTTACATGTGGTCATTAATCATGAATTTACAAGTGTCTAATGTTTCTGATGGCTCTGTGTTCAACAAAGAAAAGTGGAAGTAAGCATTTCCAAACATTACCAACTTTAAAACTGATTATTTTTGCGTGCGGGAACATGAAATGCATCACAGCTACGCTCACGAATCGGAGACACAGAGACATCGAAAATTCGGACCCGCGGAGAGAGGGTGGTGGGCTCAGAAAAAGTTAGCTATCTCAAATGTGTGGACCAAATTTTAAAAACTTCAACTTATTCCGAATTATACTATTTTACCGAAATATTACTTTATGTGGTATACTTTTTGAGGAATAAAATAGGGAAACCTACCTTTGGGGTATACACTCAGGGATTTTTTTAAAAGATCGAATCGATTCTGGCACGCTGATCTTTTGACAGGATTGATTCTCTTCCTTTTGAAGCGGATTTAATGAATCAGTTATTTTCAATAAATTTTGCGTTTCAATAAGATAATTTGGCTTATGATTTGGGGGAGAGGAAGGCACTCACGATTCATACCAAATATTCCTTTCTTTCTCACGAGAGATCTCAAACTGTCAAACTCTCTCGATTCGAAAGAGATTACATTGGATCGTCTTATGATAATTTGAGTATACCTGATTGGTTAGTATTGAAATTTTAGCTTGGCAGAAAAAACATATTAGTCTCCAGCCAGATTAGCCTACAAACGACTTTTTAACACTCTAAATTCTCTCCTCTTGCGATGATTTCATTTCATGGTCGTTGTGGTTGAATCTTTAAAAGTTACCATCAATTTACTGGGTGGATGCACATTACTATTATTCTTCATTTATTTTCAGTCAGCTAGTGAACATGAACTATGCAGACGGAAACGAATCCCACAAATGAGTTACCCAGAAACTGTAGAAGCCGCATTTGAACATGGCCCTGGGAATTCTAAACGGTTTAAAAAAACGGCAAGGTATAAGATTTTTCAATCAAAATATTCATCAGGTTCAGCTCAAAGTGTTGATGGCCTAAAAGTAATCCGCCGTTGTAAAACTCCGCTTACATAATTTTAAAAAGAACGTTTGAAAAATGTTGTCGGAAGTCATGGGTCATGTGCGGATTCCTATGCCCCTGTGATTGACCTAGGTACTAAACCACGAATGAGGTGTTGTAAATTCTCCATTGAATACTCACCAATCACTGTTGGAAAATGATCACCTTGATGTGGTGAATTTTTATGCGTGTGGCTAGCGTACTATTAATCAAATTCGAGATTTCCCTGAAAGAAATAAAAAAAATGTGCCAGCACACTTTGTTTTCAGTCGTGAAACATTGCATTCGAGACGGAATACTGATAAAATTAACTAAAAAAGCAAGATCTAAGCAGAATTTCGGTCGAGACTCTGAGAGGGAGAGACTGTTTTCCTTTCAACGTTACTTTTTGTTCTTCTTAATATTTGACCACAAGATCTAATTTTTATCCTACCATAATTTTATTAATTTCAGAGGAGTAAATCTACGTTTTACTTAGTTTAAGTGAGGGAGACTTCGCTTGCTAAACGTCCGTAGGAACTTGATGCCCTCAAGCTAATCACTAAAAATGCGACTATTTTGTCACGGAAGATGATTTTTTGCCAAATCGGCAAAATGAAGGCGGTCAACCGAACAAAGTGCCATTAAGCGTGATTTTTAAAGAAAAACAAAGTCTTGTCCGCCCTCATTTATGCGAATAGACAAAAGCAGATCATACGCGTCGAAAAAGTTGTATCCTCAGATTTAATTAAAATAAAATTAAAAGTAATGAAAATAATTGAGTCTCTGACCATACTTAACTCCGATGTGTTCCCTCTGATGATGGCGCAAGCCGGAAAGCCTCAGGGATGAAATAAATAATAAAAAAAAATCGCAGCATAATGGTCAGAGATTAAATTATTTTCATTACTTTTAATTTTATTTTTATTTCTTTTCATATTTGCCGCTTCTCCAAGCATGTTTAAATATCAGATGTAATTTGATCTGCAATAGAAAATAAGGGCTCATTGAGATGCAAATACTCGAACCATACAACAGAGACTTTGAAACGGTTCCAGTTTAGTTTCATCTTCTGAGGTCTATTTCAAGTATTACTGATGGTGAATCATCACAATTAATGATCCTTCATATGTTCTTTTATATGCCATCATCAGTTCAAGTCGACTTTTTTTCTAAGCTGATACAATTGAACGTATCTACATGCATGTACTTCATTAATACTTATGAGCAATCAAATGCTCGAAACTTACCCCTAGGTTAGAAAGCACGAAATTAACACGGTTTTATGTGCGTTTTTATTTTCAGGATAATATGTCAATTGGCTTTAGTGATGCTGGAGTTTGGCGCAGACTGCGCCTATGCGATATTCATAGCTGATAATATCAAAGAGGTTGGTTGTCAAGCCGTTTTTAAGTACTCCTTGCAAATTTAAGGGTCATTCAAATGGACTGCATTTTGCAATTTGGAACTATAAATTCTGGCTCTTCCGGAAAAATACGTATGTGCATAGGGAAACTAATGGCACATACGTTGTTTTTCAACCGGGCCGAAATTTATAGTTCCAAATTGCAAAATGCAGTCCACATGATCATGTATAGAAAAGAAGCTTTGTAAATTTCCAAAGGTACGTAGCCCAACCTCCAAAGGATGCCTCTCGCCCGCAAAAGGTTTTTTTCTGGGTCATATTTCAAACGTTTAAACAAGCGGGCTCATTACTTTCCTTTACCGTAAAAGTCATCAAATTTATCTATGTAAATTTCTAGGACGAGCCATAAAAAATAAAAATTATGGGTATCGGAGAGGTTATGATGATAATGTAGCGAGTCTTATTTTGTTCTGAAGGGCCTGTCTTTTTAGTAAACACTGAAAATGCTTTCAAATAAAGTCACTCTCGCTGAATTTACGATTAACTTTACGTATTACTTATAAATTACAATGCAATTATGAATGCTTCCTTATAAATAACTGATAAATTTCAGATTTGTGACCACATCTTCTCACCGGCTCCTGTGCGATTTTACCTGTTGTGCTTACTCGGGCCTTTGATCTTGATGTGTTGGATCAGGAATTTAAAGTTCCTGGCGCCAGGGTCAACCTTAGGGACTGGCTGCGCAATAGGGTGCGTGGGGTTTGTATTTTATTTCGTATTCTCGCAGCCGATTACGCTCGAGGGGAGAAAAGCAGCCGGGTCACTCACGGACTTCTCGCTTTTCTTCGGCCAAGTTCTCTTCGCATTTGGAGCCTACGGAATGGTGAGTGTCAAGGAAATCTCAAATAACATCTTTATAATAGTCAGGGCCGGATTACCTACTTGCCGCCCCCTTCTCATTCGTATTGAAACATCGATACAAACCATCAAGTGAACGTGTCGGAGGAGGAGGGGTGCATAAGACGCGTTTACTCGTGTTGGGAACTTTTTGGTGAAAGCCCTGTCAACAATAGCAAAAATTCATGGAACTTTGGTGGGTGAAAGTTAAATTGATACCTATCTTTGTGTGGGCAAGGCCTTTCATTTACAAGAAATAAACGAAAAAAATTGAGAAAACAGAAACATGCATGTGTTTTAATAATTTTAATTTCCGCCTCTGCGCCAAGCGCACTGTGCTTGGCGCAATGCGTGAAGTATCCCGACAGTCTTGTAGGCGCTAGGTGTTTCACGCCGACCGTTGCTGACCGCTCTGTTTTTGACGCAATGCGTGAAGTATTCATGCAGTCTTGTAGGCGCTATGCGTTTCACGCCAACCGCTGCTGACCGCACAACGTTTGACGCAATGCGTGAAGTATTCATGGAGTCCTGTAGGCGCTAAGATGTGCTTCATGCTGACCGGCACGCCGAGGGCTTTTCCTTTTCATCTCAAGTCCCCGTCATCATTGCTCTCTGCGCCGCGCCGCTCCAAGCCCAATTGACTTGGAGTGGTACAATTTTCCTAAATCATAAAATTGCCCTGAGTTGATAAAGATCTAATTTCATAAGTTATGTGTAGGATATCTAATGTTGTATGTTGATCCCGGGTTTTAAACTGACTTAACCAGGTAACAGTGTAAAAATCAACTTTTAATTGCAGGTTGTTTCGTTAAAGAATAGAATGAGGAGGCCCGCCAGTTTTGGATCTCCCTTAGGTGTTTTAAACGTGGCAATGGTCCCAAATGTGGTACTCTATGTTGTCATGGGCCTCTTTGGTTACCTGGCATACGGAACCCAAACTAAAAGCTCCATCACATTGAACCTATCGCAGACAGGATTGTAAGTAATGGAGGTTACTTAAAGAATTTTAAGTGCACTTCAAGCACTATAATTACTTGAATGAGAAGTACCCAAATGGAGATGCTTCAATTTTAATGTCCTCGTTTTACAGAAACTTCGATTTATTGCTGGTTTTAGTCCTTTATGAGGACTTTTCTTGAAAAATAAGAAAGCTGGTCCGTACACCAATCATTAAACATGATTCAAATGAAGATTAAGCATGAATAACAGACACAGTTAGTCCTTATTATCCGGCAACAGACGCCAAAAATGATAAAAATTGACTTAATAGATTTCTAGACCGTGATAAAACATAAAATTTAAGGTGAGAGAGCTCATATACCGTCACCTTACGGCCAATGTATCCCAAGAGTCATACGACGTGTCCAATTTCCACCGCCATTTTATTTTTAACAGAGGAATTTTGCACGAAGCTGTCCGAAAATTTCACTGAATTTTCTTTGTGCTGCCGATAAAATTCAGTGAAATTTTCAAACAGAACTGACCAGCGATTGCTCTGTAAAAAAATAAAATAGCGACGGGAATTTTGAGACGTTACATAATGCTTGTGATACCTTGGCCGGTGGGTGACGATACATGGTTATGATACTTGTAGTGAAATTAAAATTTAGGAAAATCAAGTTATCTAATATTTTTAATTTTTAATGTACTCAAATTGAATAATGCTTTTCTTTCCTTTTTTTCTAGCATCGGAGATTTGATTCGGATACTGATGGCTGGATCCATTTTTACAACGTACCCGCTCTGTAATTACATAGTTATCGAGCAACTTTGGCATAAAAATCTGGCATTGAAATTTAAAGACAGCAACCGTCTGGTTTTCTGGGAGTATGTCTTTCGAACGGCTGTAACTTGTGCAAACAGTAAGTTTTATTCCTCAAAACCTTGTACTCTCAGAGGCTAAAATTCTTTGAGGATGGTTGTCGATTTCAAAAGTTTAATTTTCATTATTTTGTTATTCCCAAAATTGGTATCCTGATCATTTAAANACAGAATGCCTCTAAATTAGCATGTTCAATATGTTTCAGTCGCCTGCTGTATTGCAGTACCAAATTTGGAGTTAATCATGGCACTATCGGGATCATTGATGGTGCCTACTCTTGGTGTATGGTTGCCTAGCATCACACACACCCTCACATTTTGGAACAAATACAAAGGAATCAAATTTGCATTTTTCCTCTCAAGAACCGTCATCTTAATGCTCGTAGGTTTATTTGCGTCCGTGGTTTCTCTCAGCACAACCGTCCGAGAAATTTACGGAACTGCTTTCTAGTCCTCAACTCACTCAGATCTGTGATTTTTAATACTTAAAATATTTTGTATCAATGTTGTAAAAATATACTGTACTTAGTTTTTTTTTACAAACCGGCTTTGCTTAATTTTCCCCTTTATAAGATGTTCCTCAACTTGTGTAAAAACTTGCAATTTTATCATTTTGGCAGCTGAAAATGTTTGATGTAAGAAGAAAAATGGCAGAAAAAAAGAAGCGAAGTAAATTGATCATTTTTTGTGGGTTTCCGCTTGTGACAGAGGGATACAAAAGAGCTGTATTTTAAATCTTCAATTTTGGACCTCTACTTTTATGGCTTACAATTTTACTACAAGTGTATTGTATTAAAAATGAAAAGACCATTTTGAAAAATATGAAGAAATGCTCTCGATAAAAATACTCAACTCGTGGCAACGTCGAGACACTCACTCATGAGATGTCACACTAATAAGATGTTAATGCTGCATATACGAACAATTGAAGGCGTTTTGGCTGCGCATTCTTCACAACGAGGCTCATTGCTCATTCCGCCATGAGGCCTTTGGATACTCAAATGAGAAAGGCTTCGGCAAAGGGCTCTAACTATCCCTCCTAAAGATTCTCAACACCATAAATCTCGTAATTAGTTTATTGGCACCAATACACAGAGAAGTATAACTTGTGAAGTGCGGCATGAAATGACAGTAAAAATTTAAGTTCATTTACTCGCAGATTTGTTGTAATTTTTCTCTTTAAATTTGTTCTCTCTTTAAGATATTTTAATTTCTTTTATTGGCCAATTTAATTGAATTTTGAAACGCTTATTTGGAAAATAGGCTAGCTGCACTTACAAATCACAAAAGAAGAAAAAAAAAATAACAAACTCCTTCCCTCTGTTTTTCTTTAAAAATGGCGGAAGAAAAAGAAAAACACACCAAAAGACTCTCCTTCCACCCCTCCAAAAAATGAAAGGATGTATAAGACTAGGTAAGTAAATACTTGCATTTTCAAATGAAAGCTGAGCAGACTAAATGACCCACACAAAAGCACGTTACTGAATGACAACATCCGTGGTGTGGTAACGTTTCTCGACATCGCTGGACACCACGTGGAAAAAAATATTAAGTCTCTCATGCATCATTGTCGTGTCATGTTCTACCGTACTGAGGAAAAACGCCGTAAGAGCCCTCAGATGTAGCCATATCTCCTTCCATAAAAAAATGAATTTACTGGACAAATTCTGTATACAGTAGATATCGGTTAATACGACATTCAAGGGGTCACGGGAACTCGTCGTATTAGCCGATATGTCGTAATAACCGTTGTCGTATTAACTTATGGAGTTTCGCCGGGGAAAACGAAATCCGTCGTATTAGCCGATATGTCGTATTAACCGATGTCGTATTAACCGATATCTACTGTACTTTTCTTCCAATTTCTCAGTCAATTTTGTTCGCGCTTTAATCTAAAACATCTGAAAATTTCAATGGAAAATAAACATAACTTTCTCCATCGGTGAACATTTTACCGGATATGATTTGGCAACGTCTGAAAGCTCATACGGCGTTTTTCCTTAGTACGGCAGTGTAGTAACACCGGGAAAAATCTTTCATCCTGAGCAGCGCGAGACCATCATGAACAATTGGATGATTTATCCTCATGTTATGTATGATATTCAACTTCAATCACAGCCTTAAGACTAGATCTAGATGAAACGTTTGATGTGAATTAAACAGAGGACTTAAAGTGTAAAAGAGCAGAGATCAATGAAAAAACCCTCTTGCAATTTCTCCTTTTAATTTTCTCCATTCGCGGAACCACGGAGACGGTTGGCGCACGGTACGTTGTGCCAAAACCGGTTTCGGCAGTAAACCGTTCAATCATGAAATTTAACAACAGTGGGGGAATTTGTTTCAGAGACTGTTTTTATTTTCTACTCCGGCGTCTGCAGTTAGTTTGTGCTTGTGCGTGCTTGTAGCCTATTCTTCCAACGAAGGCTTTTGTTATATTTTGCAGACCCAGCAATTGCGAAAATGGAGGTATATTTTAGGAATTTATTCTGACAACTGCCCTTTTTTCATTTACCGGCAAAGTACTGTTACAATGTGTTGTTTTCAAAGCGTCCCGTTTACCTTTTTATTTCCAAATTTTTGCGTTAATCAAGGAGCAAGGATGAATCTATCTGCAGTTTTTTTGTGGAGTTTTCTTGAATATTGACCGCACTATACTATAAGTATGGTTGATTTGACAATATTTGAGAGTTGGCATACAAAACAGAATGTGAAATTTGGTTGAATGTGTTCTTATTTTTCTCTGTATGTAGTTAAATCAATTATGCACTGAAAGGGCAGACAAAATCGATTCTAACATAAGCAGGGTTTCGTACCTCTTAAAAAATTTCTCCCCCTCCCCTTCCAGGATAAATGATTTATCATACTCCTCCTCTGCGAATGAATTTAATGCAGGTCTTGCAAAATCAAATTAATAGATAAAACTTGATTCCTTCTTTGGACTTCGTTTAAATAAATTTCAACTTGATATTTTAATATTGTTTATGGATCAATTCCACGTTAAAACCCTGGAACGTTGTCAATCTTTGTGAGTTAAGGTCCCGACTGTTGCCAACATTCAGGAAAAATAGTGATTTCACCACACAATTGGCATTGCGCTGCTTTGACTGGGACTCTTTCGGGAAATTAAACTAAAAAGAAAGAAAGAAAAAGATTGTCCCAACCCACCAGTTTTGGTGGTGAATCCTGGGACATTTTTTACGGCAGATTTGCCTGAGGCAATGCAATGTGTCGTTAAATTCGGGAGCCTCAACCTTGAATTTTTAACTTGCGCGCGCGGTCTTATCAAAATCGCATGATGGGTGCAAGATGTTCGAATCGTTGCGCCAGACATTTTTATGATGTATGATAGTTCTGGATTAAGATAGTGACATCTTAACCGACTTGATGTTGGGGGACTGTCGCGGAGAGGGGGGAGGAGGGATACAGATCAGTACGACACTCCCACTTGGTGCTCACTTCAGAGCGTTGTTTACAATTTTACATCGTGTATTCCGTGTGTTGTGGCTGACATCTTGACCAAACGGTAACTTTAGACATGAAAACCAAGTAACCTAATTATTAATATTTTTTTTCAAAATTATTTAGCAGTCAAAAGTGCAGGTCCAATACTCTGTATAAACATGACAAAAATTATATTAGAGATTACTACAATTCACCTGCCTACATGAAAATCAATAAAAATACTACGGCAGATTAAAACAGATTAGATATTAAAACAAAAAGACAAAATTTGTTCCGAGTCGGCAATATTATTAGGAAAAAAGACATAACGAAAGTTACGCCAAAAAAACCCATGTGAAGACAATTTGATAAGAAAAATACTGACAATGAGCTTCAACCTATTTAACCCTAGGAATAAGCAACGTTTATAACACAATAATTTATAAGACCGATTTGGAGTGCACCACGTACTGACCCTCGTTTCATAGAGTGTTATAGATAACGTACTGTCCGTGAACAGGTGTAAAAATGTATAATCATCGGCGAGGTCTTAGTTGATTTAGTCCAACACTCAAAGAAGTTTTTATGTTTCAGCTGGGTTGCAATCGTGGCAAGATGGGCTTCAATAAAACAACGGACTCGCAGGCAGCCTTGGATGTAGATTTGAATGAGAAAAATCCAGAAATTGGTGAGAATTACGAGCCGTACAATCATGAACCAGCCGGTAAAACTGCCTCGTAAGTATTTTTAATTATCTCAGGGCAGTTGCACTGCCCCCGTGCATGCAAAGGACGTTTTATAACTATCAATGCACTTTTCACCCTTTTCAACGCATAAAGCGTCTTAGGAGCTTTCGAGTGAAAGAAAAGATTGCTCTCTCTTTATTCATTTTTTTTCTTTTGTTTTTTTCTGTGGAAAACTGGATGGATTTTATTTTGATGCAAAGATACAGTCGTTTTGCACGTGTCTCCAAAGTATTCAGGAGATTAATTTAATTCTTGGAAAATTGTATCGACGCTTTATGACAGTGTATGCGTTTTAGGGAGCATGGGCTAATTTAAATACATTCAATTTTACATATTTGTATAATCAAAATCAGCGAACATTGTAACACAATGTCTGACAGGTAGGAGTACTGAATATATTGGAATTCGGAAAGCTTGATTGTTTGCTTCGAAAAGCTTCGGTCTAAGTTTGTTAATAAAATGTAAGTTTTTTAAAGAAATTTTACATTATTTCTAGCACTCGGCTACACTCCAAATTCCAATATTTGTATAAATGCACATAATGATACTTAACTCACTCCAGCTATGATATAGAATCATAAGAGGAAAAAGTGAAGCATGTGGAGGGGGGTGCATAAGCTAAGCAACGACTAAGATAGATAAACAAATAGATGCAAGTCATATCCATGGCCAAAGTGCGAAACCGCGTATCTCCATATGCGATGAGGTAGACTTCCTGTCGTACCTTATTTTATCTTTAAAACACTAGCCAAGGTATTTTCTTGAAAACTTCCTTTATTTTTCTTCTCTTTTAGCAGAATATCCAGTAAAAAAATTCAAGCAACACAGTTGCCTTCTTTCTCATCAAATATCAGTAAAATAATAGTGGCAATTTTAACAATTTGCAATGAAGTTACATTGTTTCCCTTTTAGGTCAAGGAAATTTTACCTGTTGTAACTAATCACGAGTTTTAAATAAAGTAAAAACTGTGTATAAAGTACAAAATTACCAAATATCTCAATAATTCAACAGGTACATCGAGGCTCTGCTCATTTTGATAAAAGCCAGTGTTGGGACTGGCGTCTTGGGCATGCCAAGAGCTTTTTACAACGCGGGATATATTCTTGGAACCATGGGCACCGTTTTTGCTGGAATTTTAACCACCGTCACCGTTCATTTGATCGTAAGTTTTTAGAAATGTTTCATCGCTAGAATTAGGGATTTCATTGAATGCTGAAGAATATCGACTCTGAATGAAACTACCAGACCACGTATCTCATTTGCGGGTGTTTCAAAATCTTCGCTCTCATTTTTTTTTTCTTTTGAAGGACGACAAATAAATATCATATTTTGCAGTTTTACAGAGTTTCCTTGACAAAGTGAAGACATATTTGGGAGTTTTCAAGAATTGATGTTCAGTAGTTTTCCATTCAAAAAAGAAATTATGATAATGAGTCTGCAACGTCGCAAGTCGAAATAAGTTAGTTAGTTAGTTATTATAATTTTAAGACATTCAGCGACTCAGGCTATTAACGTCTTTACAGATAATTTTGAAAATAGGAGTATAAACGAAAATTTAGATTTTTAAATTAAGAGAGGTGAAGAGTTTTAGAATTTTGGTGGTAATATTAGGTTCATCGCATGTAAGAGGGTTTGTATTTCTGTTGATTGTAGGGGAGTAGATCTGTGATTGGAGATATCGGAGGGAAGAGCAGTCCATAAGTATGTGTTTGATGGTTAGAGGTGATGAATTGCAGAAGTGGCAGATGGGTTGGTTTTCTTTAGATATGATATGATTGTGAGTGAAAAAAAGTGTGACCTATCCTGAGACGCGCAATTTGGACTTCACATGATCTTGATTTGTGGTTAGATGTTCTTGGATATGGCATGGGGGCTCTACGGAGACGATTCTGTTCACTTGTGCTCCATTCTTGTTCCCACGATTTTGTGATAAGTTCGCACATACTGGTCTAATGGTTATAACGTCGATATACGGCAAAACTTTTCTCCATTCCTTGCTGTGCCTTCTTAACAGTAGGGTGGCAGTTCATCGTATTGATACTTATAATTCTTAAAATTCTTACGATTTATTCATTTTAATTTTTGGATCATATCTTAAGTGCTTGTGATTCTGTGAGTGCTGCCATAAAGACACTTAAAAATGTTCTTTAAATAAAATTGAATTTGTATGAAGTTTTTGGTTTTCATCAATTTACACCATTGCTTGGGCTTCTATTATCGTATTATAACACTGAAAATTAAAATTTTCAGTCAGATTAGTCTACAAACGACGATTGAAAATTTTAAATTCGCTCCTCTTTTCAATGATTTCATTTCACGGTCGTTGTCGGTGAACATTTCAAAGTCTTCATCACTTTACTGATTATGAGTGAATTCATATTGTTATCATCTTTTTCAGTCAAACAGTGAACATGAACTATGTAGACGGAAACGAATTCCACAAATGACCTATCCGGAAACCGTGGAAGCCGCATTTGAATATGGCCCTGGAAATTCTAGACGATTTAAAAATACTGCAAGGTAACATTGTTTAATCAAATATTTAACATAGGCCCAGCTCAAAGCATTGATGAACTAAAGGTCATCTGCTGTTGTAAAACCCCGCTGACACACTTGTAAAAAAAGAACGTTTGAACATTTTTTATAGAAGTCATGAGTTCATGTGGATTTTACGAGTTTTATGTCCCTGTCTTTGACCTAGGTTCAAAATCACGAATGAAACGTTGTGAGTTCTCCATTAAATATTTGCCACTCATTTTTTGAAAAAGTTCTAGTTAGTGTGGCAAATAGGTATATGCATGGCGTGCTGTAAATCATTCTTGAGATTTCTCTAAAACTAATCAAAACGTCTACCTTCACACTTATTGTCATTTGCGAAATACCGCAGTTGAGACGGCGGCACACACTGGATCGAGTCAATCAGAGAGGTCGTACATGACATGTTTAAATAAAGCTGCAATTTTTAATGTTTAATTCGTCACATTTTAAATTTTGAGGGATGCAATTTTAAGACAATTTGACGAGGAAACCAATGGAATTACTTTTAGAACCTCAACATTTTATATGAACGGAGTTATGAGGTCTTAAAGTTTCCAAATTTTGTCCGACCTCCCCTATTGACTCGGTCCACTGTGCGGCACCATGATGAAATTAACTATAGAGGCAGGATTTTATGAGAACGTCGTCTAAAATCGCCTGCGACTGTATTTCCTGTAGTTTTACATTGCATCCTCCCTAATATTTGAGTACAATATCTTACTTTCACCTCAACTTTAAAAGGCAATTCAACTATTTTGACACGTAAGACCTTCTTTTTCTCAATCGACAAAATAGAGGCGGTCAACCCGTAAAGCGTGATTTCAAAAGAGGAACAAAGCCTTGTCCGCCTTCATTTATGAGATAGGTAAAAACAGATCCTACGCGTCCAAAAAGTTGTATCCCTAGAAATTGATTTGCAACAGATATCAACGACTTTATGATATGTAAAATTTGAATCGTACTTACATACCGTGAAAAGTTTCTAGTTTTATCTTTTAAAGACTATTTTAAGTATAAATGATGGTGAAATACCATAATGATTCTTCTGATTTTTTTCATGGCATTATCACTGCAAATCGAACGGGATTTTTTAAGCGGATGGAGATGGACGCACCTAAATGCATGCTTTTCATAATGACTTTATGTGTAATGAAATTTACCATTCTCTATACTTACCCCTAGGGTAAATGAGAAAGAAATTCACATGGTTGCGTTTTAATTTTCAGGATAATATGTTATTCAGCTTTAGTGCTGCTAGAGTTTGGCGCAGACTGCGCTTATGCGATATTCATAGCTGATAATATCAAAGAGGTTGGTTGTCAAGCTGTTTTCATTTACTCCTTGCAGATTTAAGGGTCATTCAAATGATCATGCATGGAAGAGAAGCTTTGAGAATGACTAGGGGTATGCGACCAAAACCCCAAAGGATGCCTAGCGCCCTCAAAGGGCCGTCTTCTGGGTCATATTTCACACACTTAAACAAAACTGGCTCATTACCTTTCTTTTCTGCAAAAGTCATGAAATTCATTTCAGTAAATTGTTAAGAGGAGCCATTACCAAAAAAGAAGTATGGGAGTCAGAGAGGTACTGATGATATAATGTAGCACGTCTTGTTTTGTTCTGGGGGCCCTATGTTTTAAAAGTAAACTCTAATAATATTGATGTCATTACTGCTGCGGTCGCTTTATACCCTCCACAGGGTGTGAATAGTGGTGCATAGCACTAAAATGATGGCGGAATAATGATGCAGAGGAACTGAAGTCTCATTGAATAGGGTTCAATATGAACTCAATGATGAGACACCCGATCGAATTACAGAACAGCATGCTTGAGATTAGAGTACATCTTCAGAACGACGAACATACAATGTATGTTCAATCTGCACGTTGCCTCACCAGCTAAAGTCCTCATGATTTGTTTTATGACTACCTATTCTTGAGTGCTTACTTTCTTTGATGTAATTGAAGGGTTTAATACTTGAAAAGCGCGTATAGATATTTTGATTATTTGAGAAAATTCAGCTCGCCTGAAAAGTTATCTGGAAAAAGTTGATAATGGAGATATTACGTCTCATTTACCTTATTTTTCCCTTATTCTACTCCATTACTTAGATTATTTCATTGGAATTACACCACCACTACTACTACCTTCTCCTTTTATTTTTGAAAGGAAGCGCTTATTTGGATGAAATATTTTTTGAAGAAAAAGATAAATTAATTTAATTAAAAGGGCCGTCTCGAACTTACGTAACGCTAAATTTGCGGTTTTTTGACACATCTCACTCCCAGTAACAATCCGTACTGCTATTCTAGACTCACCTAAAAAAAGTACGTAACGCTTGCCAGCCCCCCTATAATCTCGATTAAAAGTAATCGAATTTTCATCGTACATTCATTGAATGGATTGGCATTTCCATTACAGGAGGAAAAGTGAAAGTATTGCGGAGAATATTTCCGGAGTTCTTTAAAACTTCTTCTTGCAGTACAATAACTCGAAAAAAATTACTTTAACTCGTTGCGTAACGCTTCGCTCTATTACCCCCCCCCCCCCCTTGGAGCATTACGTATTTTAGAGACGGCCTCAAAGGGGTGAACTACTGATTTTGAGGATACTGTTAGAAATGAAACCAGCCTAGTATAGTCAGGCGAAAATAATAAATTAAACAGAAAGATTATTCTTTTTAACACACATTGAAAACCAAGCTATCGGCAAATATGGGGTGCGTTTTGCTCATTCAAACAAACTCATTTTCCATGAACATACAAAAATCTTCCCTATATATATTTCAGATATGTGACCACATCTTCTCTCCAGCTCCTGTGCGATTTTACCTGTTGTGCTTACTCGGGCCTTTGATCTTGATGTGTTGGATCAGAAATTTGAAGTTCCTGGCGCCAGGGTCGACTTTAGGAACTGGCTGCGCAATAGGGTGCGTGGGGGTTGTATTTTATTTCATTTTCTCGCAGCCCATCACGCTCGAGGGGAGAAAAGCGGCCGGATCACTAAAGGACTTTGCGCTTTTCTTTGGGCAAGTTCTCTTCGCATTTGGAGCTTTCGGAATGGTGAGTGTCAAGGAAATCTCAAAAAGTACTTTTTTTCCTTCACACAAGACCACAATAGCTGTTTCTAAAGTCACTCAAGCACAAAATAAAATATACACTAATTTCTATCCAGGCTCGAGTAAATTTGGCAGCATTGTAAATGGTCGAGAATAGTTTTAAGGGCTATAAACAATTATTGTACATTATTATCTAAAGTTGTGAGCTATATTAGCTTCCTCAACTTCGGTATACTTGTTTTGAGGTTGATGAAAAGCTGTCAAATGCCATCATTTTGTTGCGCGCAGCGCCTCAGCTGCGCTGTGACCCACCTTACCCCCACTCTTAAGGCAAAAGTGAAATTTTCTCGTTCAAAACAGGCCTCTGGATTTCTTCCCAGGAGATTGTCAGGTGTGAAATCATTTGGGCGTATTTCAAAGCCAAAAAACGCGGTTCTGCGGATCGGCCCATTTTCTACCCATTTAAATCAATGTGATTTTATCCGAAATTTTCATAGCTTCAGGGAAAAGTACACACTTCAAATGTTAGAACTTTAGAATTATCTTTTGATGGACAAAAATGAATGGGGAGGAGCCCAGGGGACAAGCTTTTGAGATATAGTCACCTTAAAACGGAAGATCCTACTACATGACCTCAGTGGCGGGTCCAGAAATTTGGCAACACTGGATTTCCTCCACTTAAACCTATGCTAAATAATCGATTCTTGTCAGATCACCTGGCTCCTCCAAGAATAGATACATTTCAATAGGTTTAAATGGAGAAAATACTATGTTGCCAATTTGCTGGATCCGCCAATGCATGACCTGACCTCCAATATACCGACAGACCGACATGTCCGTACGCTCCCCAAACAGATTCTAATCCCCGCATCTCAAGCACGCAATTTAATGTAAGGAGGGCCCCTACTGCTCCAGTGCAACCCATGTTACAACCCAACCACTCACCAAAACCAATCGTCTTCGAGTGCCGATAGACGTCACATCACGTCACGTCGATACTGAGTCACGTGTATCTGGAGTAGGTCCGAGGCGCTAACTTCCTCCTAAAAATCAGGTGATATGAGATAGACGAGATTCCTTTCCATGTAAACGCCATTCGGAAACACGCTGACAATGTTGTGCTTGCAGCGAGGCGCTGACAATGAGCGGTGAGAGGAAATCAGTGGCGAGCCGTGAATGATTATCGATTTTCTCCTTTTGAAGCTATGGTAAAGAACCAAATATGAAGGTGTTCGTTGCAAAAATCCTATATATCGACCCTGTTCCATAGGTTTCTATTACAGATCAATCGATATATCGCAATTAAAGCACGCCGCGCCACTGGAAATTATTAAACCCTCGGCATTGATCGGATTGTGAATGGCAGTCCCTGAGATATCATATTTCCTGCGTATTTTTTCCCGCATCTGCATTTTCATCCTTCACCGCACGCCAGTAATTTGCATGTCTCACGACAAATAATAAGAGAAGAAAAAGCAAATTCGTTTTCTTGCCATCTCACCAGCTTGCGCTGGTGTTCTTCATTTTTTACTAGCAAGGATTTGGTCATTTATTACGATTGTGGTTTTATTCAAAGTTCCTATTCATTGCGGAATAGTTAGCTGAGGTGTTTGTAGGTCTCAGCCAAACTCTTCATCAAACCTTCCGTTGAGTCCATGCATGAATGTGTTAATACATCTCAAAAGAAGAGCCACAATCTCTTTGCTTCTATTCTTTTGCACAGAGACATACTCAAATCGGAATCTTCTGATTGGTTCGCTCAACAATGCTATGGGACTAGGTCCATTTTTGGCTATTACAACGGGCTGACGAACAAGAAATGGTCTTTATGTACGAGTGAGCTTTAAATCTCAGTGACACATACGTATGAGGAACGTGCGACTCTCTTGTTAGGTCCTCGTTCCAATAGCGACACCAACAATTACGATTCACACTGAATTAGAAATGTGGCCTCTGTCTGGATTTCATTTAGCAAAAAGGAACCAAAACGTGTTTTCAAAATCGTACAACTTTCCCTTTTCTTTTAAAATACTTAATATGTGTACAGTATTAAAATTTACACAATTATAATCCTTTAAAATGAAAAAAATTTTGGTGGGGAAAAAAATTGCTATTCTAGGAGATTTTTGAGACAATCATGAAGGAGCAACATTTTAACAACACTGTAATTGCACTGGTTCCTTTTTGCTAAATGCGATCCAATTAGAAATGGGAAGACTCATTCTGAAAATTTTAAAATAATTTCAGATTTTGGTAAATATTGATAAATAGTTAAGGTATAATCCTAACTCTTAAAATTATTTTGAGGTGAATACATACATATCTTACTTTATTAGTTATGTTATGTCTAAGATATCTAGTGTGCGCTAATACCGGGTTTTGAACCGGCTTCACAAGGTAACATTGTACAAACCAAATTTGAATTGCAGGTCGTACCGTTAAAGAACAGAATGAGGAGACCCGCCAGTTTCGGATCCCCCTTCGGTGTTGTAAATGTAGCGATGGTCCCAAATCTAGTCCTCTATGTTATCATGGGCTTCTTCGGTTATCTGGCATACGGAAACCAAACTAAAAGCTCCGTCACATTGAATCTACCGCAGACTGGATTGTAAGTGATGGATGTGACTACACTGAAAAAAAAAGTTGCTTGCTTAAAGCATAATAATTCTTGAATTTGCCGCCAATAATTTTTTTTATCTGACTTTGAGCTGAATTTTTCTTGATACAAGAAAAATGATGCTTGGGTTAAGCAAAAAAGTAGTTCATATTAACCAGCAAAATTCTTGATTTAAGAAAAAATACTTCTTGGCGGCAAATTTAAGATTCTTATTTTTCAGTGTAAAGAATGAATTTAAAGTGCATTTCAGGAACTTCAAGTTTTCAAACGAGGGGTGCCGATAAAGAGAGCTTCAATTGCTAGTATTCCCCGCATGTCACCTCCACTACAATTTATTGCAGGCATTAATAATTATGATGAGTGCTTTTGTTACAAAAATAAGAATGCTAGTCTGTTACGCAGACCTACCATTTAAAATTATACAAATGATTATTGGAAAGGAAGGACAGTCTTATTTAGCAGTTATTAACAGCCAACATAAGCCAAAATAATGCAAATCGGTCCGTTAGTTCAGAAACAGAAAATTGGGATGTGAGAGAGCCCATGAGGACTTATCTGTAACAATATAGCGGATGGGAAAAATTACCTTTTCAAAACACGCTTAAAAACTGTTTTGTTCAAACAAAAATTTAATATGTTTGGCTCTGGCATAATGTACAGATCTCGAAGATTGCATCTCAAGTATTTTCTCAAAATTTTCTCAATGCCAAAACAGTTTTTTGAATGTGTGTCGAAAAAGGTAATTTATCACACCCGCTATTGTTACAGATAAGTCCTCATATAAGTATATGTACATGGTTATGTAATTTTCATTTAAGTTAATTTGTAGAAAATCATGTTATCTATTATAATTTAATTTTAAGGAACTCAAATGTGTTACGTAGGTATATCTTTTCTTTTCTTTTTTTCTAGCATCGGAGATTTGATTCGGATACTGATGGCAGGATCCATTTTTACGACCTACCCACTGTGTAATTACATTGTTGTTGAGCAACTTTGGCACAAAAATTTGGCATTGAGATTTGAGGACAACAAACGTGTGATTTTCTGGGAGTATGTGTTTCGTACGGCTTTAACTTGTGCAAATAGTAAGTTTTATCCACTAAAACGTTGTTTTCTCAAAGGCTCATGTTCTTAGAAGGCAGATGTTAATTTCAAGAATTTAATTTGTATTTTTTATTTTTCTCAAAATAATTATCCAAGTAATTAAAAGAAATCTATTGATCGTACCAATGCATCATAGAGGTCATAGATTTATAATTTAAATAGGGAGAGCTGGTGCCACTTTCTAGCGTAATTCCGTGACTCCTGCGCCACACTGGGTCACCATTTCGATACATAATCGATTGTTTCCGAGACACGGAGACCCGGCCATCCGATGTAAACAATGGAGATATAAATTATACCGTGTTCTTCATCGCCATTTTGGATCGAAAATATATCGAAAGGGTGACCGAATCTCAGCGCTCAGCGGGCTCAGAACTCCGTCAACCAGAACATGGCCTCGACTCACTTCATTATATCGTTGCCTTCCGGACAAATTACAAGTGCCATGCGACGTTTCAAAATTTCCGCTGACATTTTATTTTTTTTACAGAGAAATTGTTCAACGAACCTGTCCGAAAATTTCACTGAATTTTCTCAGTGTTGCCGATTAAACCCTGTGAAAATTGCATACAGATTCAACTAAAAATTTCTCCGTAAAAAATAAAATGGCGGCGGAAATTTTGAAATGTCGCATGGCGCTTGTGATACTTTGAACGGACGATGACGATATTACAGCTTCTACTCCGGTAATCCAGGATTGCGCGAAAGGTCTCAGAACACTAATGAGGATTGCGCGGAAAAAGCACAAGGATTGCGCGAATAGAAACCTTAATATCTGCCACAGGAATGCGCGAATTTAAAATGAAGTTAATTTAAAGTATAGAAGTTTGGAAAACAGAAAACATTTGGAAAATAAACGAATTTTGACCAGCCATCGATGTATTACCCTCTGACAATAAAGGAAGCGAAAACATTTATTAATGGTCGTGGGTATAAAGAACTATCCTAACTTTTCTCGAAAAAAATATTTCACCGGGAGAAACGAGGCAACGTTGGAATGCTAATACGGCGTCGACATAACATGGGCCTTTTAAGCTCTATTATTCGATGCCGCAATGATTCTAATAACGGGAGTTCGAATAATCGCGCCAAACAAATTGCGAACGGTGTTAAACGCACATTAGCGCCTGCGAGACTTTAGGAATACCTCACGCACTGCACCATACAGTGCGGTCAGCGTCAAGCCCATGTTAGCGCCTACAAGACTGCACGAATACTTCTCGCACTGCGCCAAACGCAGTACAGTCGGTCAGAAGGCGTGAGACGCATATTAGCGTCTACAAGACTGTAGGCATGCTATAGGACTGCGTGTCATCATTCTTGACTTTCTGCTCCAGTTTTTACCATAATTAAAGGGAAAATGTGTATCCTTATTGTAACGATTTAGAAACTCGAATGATACTCAATTTTTTTTTTGTTACGTTAAGAGGAAATAGAACGAACGAAAATATCAAGGTGAAACTGTCGATAATTTTATTTGAGATCATTTAGGTAAATGCAAACATTTCAGCTAATTAGGAACCATTTCAGAGAAACTTTATGTAGCTTTTAAAAAAACATTTATTAAAAATAAAACATAAAAGTGAAGTAAAACGTTGCAATCAATGATAAATCGACGGTGAAAGTCGGCAATCACATAACTCGGTTTGCGACGTCGCAGACTTCCTGTCATACTTTATTTTTTAAATGGAAAACTACTCGATGGCAATTCTTTAAAACTGTCATGATTTTTCTTCTCAATGCGAAGAAAATTCTGCAAAAACTTCAAGAAATAATATCAATTTGTTCTCCTTTATAAAAATGACGTAGAGGCGGAGATTTTCAGACACCGCAAACGAGTTATGTGATTGCCGACTTTCACCGTCGAAATGTACGCCTTCTTTCAGGTGCACCCGTCGGGTTTTGAATCTATTCATCTCTTAAAAAACTTGAACATGGTTGTTCTACGATGTTTTGCGTGCAGTATTTTCAGTAGTTGGTGGCCGAGTAACCCCTAGTTCACTTTTTAAAGTGTCTATGAAAGCTCTTTGGGCCATTCGGGCTGCGAGGGCTATCCATCGAAAAGAGACATTCCCGCAAGTAGAAATGGAATGAACGGTCTTCCGCGATGTTTTATCTACCAAAAAGTACCATAATTGCCAGATTAACGCTTACTCGTTGAGTATTGAATACTTGCGCAAACATGTGAGTTTTCGGTACCAGAAACATTCGTGCAATCCTATGCATCTCCGAAAAAGTAAAAAAGGAGCATTCATGCAATCCTATCGCAGCCAAGTGCTCAATGCCATACATTGCAGCAAAGTATGGTTTGTAATCCAAAGATTTCACTTATGAATCATTTACACATAATTCCACTAAATTAGCATTCCCAATTTGTTTCAGTCGCCTGTTGTATTGCAATACCAAATTTAGAGTTAGTCATGGCATTCACGGGATCACTGATGGTTCCTACCCTTGGTATATGGTTTCCTAGTATCATATACACCCTCACATTCTGGAACAAATACACAGGGATTAAATTCGCTTTCTTCCTCTCAAGAACTATCATCATAATGCTCGTGGGTGTATTTGCGTCCGTAATATCTCTCAGCACAACCGTCCGAGAAATTTATGGAACTGCTTTCTAGTCTTCAGTCCACATAGATCTGTGATTTTTAATACCTAGCATAGTTTGTATCAATATTGTAAAAATATACTTCCGTTAGTTTTTTACACATTATGGTTTTGCGTGATTAATTTTCTGCTGTATATAATTTTCCTCAATTTGGGTCCAAAACTTATGACTCCCGAAGTATGGCCGCTAAAATATTTAATATAAAAAAAAAAAATTAGAAATTAGGCCAAAAAAGTTCCAAGCAGCCATGTCTACTTTTGTACCAGTGAAGGCCACGAAAGAGTTTGACAATTTTAAACCTGCACTACAATAGTCAGTTGATTAATTTATTTATAGATATTCGGCATCTTAGACTTTTTACGTCTTTACAAAGAATTTGGAAGATGGGTGCATGACTCTAATCGATTAATACTCACATTTATATTTCATTGTATTAAAAAGGAAAATATAATATTGTTATATATTAAAAAGATGCCCTCGATTAAACTATTGGACTCGTGGTAATGTCGATGACGACGTTTGCATTCAACAATTAACTCTCAAAGGATGTCCGTGCTGCATATATGAAAGAATGAAGGCGTTTTGGTTTCGCTCTCTCACAACGAGGCTGAATCCGCCATTGGTCATTGTAACTGTTTGACAAGAAAGGAATCGGCAAAAGGCTTAATATACCCTTCCTCTATTAAGGATCGAAACTGATTTATTGCTATCAACACACAGAGAAGCATATTTCGAAAAGAGCGGCATTAAATTACACTAAAAATTTAATTTCAAACCGGAGTTGGGATAGTGCAGAATTTGCAGTTCAATACATGTAGCTCAGAGACAATGCTTTCGAAAAGTTTCAACGGGGGAAAAACTTTAGTTAAAATTACGATATGCGCTGTTACGTGATAGTGGTCATAACCAAAAGTAATTGTCTTTTTACCATCAAGTGGTAATTTTCCAAAAATTGCGGCAAAATTACCAACGTAGCTGTAAACTTACCGACGTAGTGATGAAAACACCATACTTATTACTTATTACTGGAACCAGTTCAGATTTTCAATAGAGCACTGGTAATATAGTAATTTTTACCATGTGTCTTTTTTCGGTGCACATTGTATGTTATGCCTTTTATAGGCAGAAAAGTGTTACATTAGTTGAATACACCATCCAAATATCTCAGAAAGCTACTCATACTCAAGTGTTTACATCTATGGGCCAATGTGTTTTGAGAGCTACAAAAATTCGACAGTCAAGTTTAAGAGGTCAAAAAATTTCAACTTCAACGTCCAAACGGTGAGGCCGTGATACTTAATTAATAAGAGAGATCGGATCATTACAAAATCAATAAACACAGGTCGTTACACGCACCTGTCACTATTTAAGCCGACTTCAAAGATAACTTGAAGGGCTTGAAGGAGGATGATAAAAGTCTGAATTAATTAAGCCTGTGGTACAGTTACCTGTTCACGGCCTGTCGTGTATCGTTGCTCCTCTGACGTATGAACTTATCTCAATTTCCACGTGAGCCTTGTTTTACATATAAATCCATGCCTTATATGGCTCATGCAAAAATCGAGATACGCCCTTACGCCAAAGGAACACCGATATTTGCATTCTTGCCATTTGGCGGACTCGTGATTTTCGTACACGCTACGGAAAATCTGCCGTGCTTAGGAAAAACGCCTTATGAACATTCGAGAGTTGCCAAATTTCCTCCAATAAAATGATCATTTTTGAGGATATTCATGAATATTCTCTCTTGAAATTTCCAGATGATTTAGATCTGACTGCGAATGAAATTATCTGAAAAATTGGAGGAAAAATATACACGAATTTCTCTGTGAATCCGTATTTTATCAAAGGAAATTTGGCAACGTCAGAAGGTTCATACGGCGTTTTTTCTTAGCACGGTAGAAATTATCCTCGAGTGTTCTACTACGCACGGTCTCGATTGTAAAGTCTCCAATCCTCATTCGTAATTCATGCGGCGACTGCATCCTCGTGGAAGGTGTCTCCGAGAAAAGTTTTCATGGAATCAAAATACTCAACATCGTAATGTTGATTACTGTCTCCATTGGGTAGGGGTAAATATTTGGTGGGCCACTGGTGATTTTGTATATAAATAAGGGAATTTATCATATTTTTGCAGTGTCTAGTGCTGAGTGCAACATGTTTTGTTGACTGGAAATGACCGGAAAAATTCCCGAGCACCACTCTAAGTATCTTGGTAAGTGAATGATGGGGGTCAAGGTAAATGATATTTTTTTGGGTTTTGAAGCCACGAAAGAGCGATTTTGAATCACGAGAAAAGAAATAAAAATTTTCTTCTGAAAATATTTGCCATAATTGAGCGTCCTGTAAAAACTTAATCATTCTTCATATTCTTCAATTTTAACGTAATTTGTGTACTATTCTTCGTCTGCTATTGATTACATATCTTTCAATCCCGAGAAAATAATCGTGATTAATTTTTTTCTCCTAAACGAATCATCAAAAAGTGTTTTCTCTCAAATTGAAAGAGTGAAATCGGAAAAACATACATCCGATCGTGTTAAATAAGACTCATAATGTTGACATTTTGTTTTTGCGATTGAAAAATTTGACCTATTCGCATGCAATTTTCAGAGAGCATTTTGAAGAAAACAAAGACTTATTATAAAAAATATTTCCAACTGTAACGATAGTTAGTATTAACAACAGAGAAAGAAATACGGTTACAAAGTAAATACTAAAATATGTATGCAATACTTTTTTAAATGATGACTTAATTCTATTTGCTACGGAATTACCCTCTTTTTTTAAATTTTTTTATCCCCACGCACAGTGTAAGAGAAAATAGGCTTTAAGCAAAATTAATGGACTTTAGACGATACCATCAACAATTTATCATATTTTAAGCAGGTTGACTATTCTTAAATAATGGGACCGTAAGTCGTTTAATGCATATTTTTACAGTAGAGTTATTTCTCTCCGGTATCATCAAGAAGGATGATGTTATCTATTTCTATTTCCAGCCAAAATCAGAGCCATATTAAGAGGATGGGTCTTGAGAAAAAATCAGAATCACGAACAGTTCTCGACGTAGGGGTAAACGAAGATATTCCTGATTTTTCGGATGAAAACTATGAGCCACATGATCATGAACCGGATGGCAAATCAGCCTCGTAAGTCATAATGAAAGTTAATTACATTCACCCATTCCGTCACGTATTGTTTCTCAATCTCAATAGTTGAAGATTTGAATTATGACCATGGAAATAATGAGAGATTTTCAACGTAGGACCAAGAAATAGAGTATTTTGTCAAGCTCAACACCGTAAAAAAATTTTAAGTAAAAATTCAACAATGAATTCGTAAAATGATAAATTAATGCAAAAACGAACCACGCTAAGTGCTAGCGAATCTGGCCAACCACCATCTAGTGGAAGCAGTGCGTCTTGAGCTCAATCCTCATTGGCTGCATCACCTGGCTGTGAGTAAGGGCGGCAGCCAATGAGGGGTCACTGCTCCCACTGGATGATGGTTGGCTACCGCAGCAATCTTTTTTATTGAATTATTTTGATGGAATGAATAGATAGTAGATAGTAAAATGAAATAAGGAATTTTTTTTTATAAAATACTTAAATTACCATCAAAACTTTAGATGATTAGTCGAAAAACTTTTATGCATCGTCAATTATTCAGTTTTATTTGAGGTTTCTAATTTTTAAATATTTTTACATTTTTATGTACTAAATCTTTCGAACTCAAGCCAGTAACAAGCCCAAATTTTGAGATTGTACATGCTGTTTTATCCTATTAATTCTATTTGCTTCTATAATTTTTTCACAGATACTTTCAGGCATTCAGCGTCTTGATGAAAGCTAGTTTAGGAACCGGTATACTAGGAATGCCGAGAGCTTTTTACAAAGCAGGATACATTCTCGGTACAATAAGTACGATAATCTCTGGAGGATTAACAATACTCAGCGTTCATTTAATCGTATGTTCACTTGTATTTCGACTCAATTTAGTAGAAAGGGATTAATTTTGTTTTACTGAGACCTTCTTATGGAGAAAGAGATTTAAGTGGATATTTCAAATATTAATTCACGTCTTTTTTTGGGCTGTATTTTTTTTTAGCAAGACGAGTAGTTACTTCAATCTAGCTAAAAATTACTCAATTTAGTTTTGTGGCAAATAATATAGCTCGACTTTTTTTTGCCTTCTCCGCCTTTCTCCGCAGAATAGCAAGAACCGAGCTTTGTCTACCATCCTTTTACCTCTTGATACATTACCCCGCCTCTATTCCGCCCATTCTTCTGCGGTAGCATTTACAGGAATGATATTCTTGCAAAATGACAAATGAATCACCCACTCACAATCTGACAAGTTTCGATTGAATACTCTGTGACTATCTCTGAATTTCCAATTTTCCGTATTCATGCAGGAAAAAAAATCATCTCTCGAGAAGTTAAAGACAAAGTTTACTCTCGGATACAATGTAATTTTACTGAGCTCAGTTTGATTTGTTATTTTAGAGAGCCTCGCTTTTACGATGCGCACGTGGTTGGACGTTTTGTCTCAGCCATGAATAATTAAAAATAACGAGACAGTTTGAGAGTATGCTCCTTTATCTGAAACTCGCTCTTGAAGACAAGACTAATCATTTTGCCCATAACTCCATCGCTGCTTTTTAGACAAATAAAACTCTTGGGAGTTTTCACAATTGCACTTTTTGAAGGGTTTCAAAATCCACTTTCAACTGCACGAAAATGTAGTAAAACTGTATTTTAGCACCAACATGAAAAAGAGCTTTAACACAAGAATAAACATAAATTGTTCACTACAATATGATTACGATATACCTTGCCTAGAGCTGGATTCATTGTGCCTGGCGAAAAATATTTTCACAGATGAAGCTTTAAGCGAAATGTGTAATATTAAAGCGGAATGAAGAACCTAAATTGGTTTTCTATCAATCTTCACGAGGTTAAATCCATGCAGCTCAATAACTTCAAAATTCCATTAATAGTTCATTCTTGGCTATGCATATGATATTTCTTTATTTTACCGGTGGAATTGATGTTTCTCACACAGAAAAACGTAACCGTATACCAAAGTTCCAAATCTGCACTCATAAATTGTGTATTTACCAGTAAATTGTTAGGCATCACTGAATTTTCGTCCGGCTCTGGTATGAGAAATGGCAGAATATGCCTTTATCTTGTATTGCATATTGCTTGAGTTACTGATAAATTTTAAGCTAACAATGATAGTGTAGTGATTTGCCTTATCCCAAGCGCTAGTTCAAGGAAAATCATTCTTGCCAATAATAAATGTAGTTTTGAATGTATCAGTTAAAAAAGGCACTTGTGTTTTTGCACTGCTAAAATTTTCTATATTGTTTACATTTGACGTTTTTACAGGCAAGAACAGAACATGAACTGTGCAGGCGGAAAAGAATACCTCGTATGACTTATCCTGAAGTAGCCGAAGCTGCATTTGAAAAGGGCGTTTTCAGACGTTTTAAGAGAGTTTCAAGGTAAATGATACTAGCCACTCATCAACTGACTGTTAAATAATGCAAATGATCAAAATTGTTTGGAAGCCTAGTAGAAATAATGATTTAGTCTGTAAAACTAACTGTCAACTCTCCCACAAGGTGAAAATCGCACAAACCATGTCAATGTTGTGGAAATTGTACACCTCTTCATTTTTCTATAATGCCAATTAAGTGCATAGCCCTCTTATCTTTTTCATCTGTTTGCCCAAATATAGCAGTTACGGTATTTGAGGAAACGGATAACAAGGAAAGGCCTTTTCCTAAACGGAGTTCACCCTCCTTTGCCCCCGTTCTTGCTTTTCTGAAGTTGAGTCGTTTTCTCAAGAAAAAGGATGGATAGGGTTAGGTGGTGCCGTGTGGGTAAAACATTGATAGTGATTCAGTTACTACTACAACTTCAAGCTGTTTTTAAGAGTCCTCTATTCAAAGTCCATTTTGACAAAACATATTTTTTTTTTAAAATAGTCCTTAAACTGTTTTCTTCTAATCATAATGACTTTTTTTTTGGATTAAAAATATTTGGTTTCTTTTTTAAATCAAATACATACATTTATATTTTTATACATAGTTAAAAACAGTTTCGAACAAATGTTTTTGGGGAGCCAAAATATTACCGGATTGAAGTGCTTAATCTTACTTAATTTTTTGACAACTAAATCAAATTCCTTTTCGTTTGCAGAAATATATGTTTTTACGGCTTGGTTTTAACGGAATTTGGAACTACCGCTGCGTATGCGATTGCCATTGCTGAAAATTTAAAAGCGGTGAGATATTAAAGTTTATTGTTATTATGACGGCCTACAACATAAAGGATAATGGTACATCGGAGCTAATTGTCTGGGAGGTCTCTATGTGTATTTGTGGTAAAAAAAATGGGATTTGAAATTTTGATTGAGAGCTGCCTTCAGTACCCAAAAGAGTAAATTGTGAAAACCAATATTTTCAAATTTAAAAAAGAAAAGGTTTCTCAGAGCCACCATTATAAGCAGTGGTATAAAGATCTCAAAGCTACTTATTCTGCATTTAGATTCTTTTCCCTGTGCTCGTAGGTCACATATTTTTTGCTAAAATACAACTCGTGCAAATTCTCCATGTCCTTACCTTGTGTGCCATGGCCGACCATGGCTAGCGGCTCCACGAATCATCACTGGATATACTTTCTGTTACAGGTCTGTGATAATAACTTTTCCCCGGCTCCTCTGAGATTTTACCTTCTTTGCCTCTTGGGACCCTTAGTTGTATTATGCTGGATAAAAAATCTGAAGTCGCTAGCACCTGTGACATCGTTAGGGACGTGTTGCAGTATTGGTTGCATCGGCACTATCTATTACTTCATCTTCTCGCAGCCAATCTCGCTCGAACACAGAAAGGCGTCCGGGTCATTCAATGACTTTGCCCTCTCCTTCGGCACTACATTGTTCGCACTGGAAGCTTTCCCAGAGGTAGGTTTAGCACTTAAATGTGGAGGCTCAACAGGTAGTTTTTGCTGATCCTTAGGTTTATTTATCATCAAAATACGATTCTTTTACCTACAACGTAACAAACTTAAGACAATAATTGCCCAACGAATCGTTTTTTGATAGAGGGACGTAATACCAATCTCTTTTATTTTTTTGCAGGTTTGCCTATCTGAAGGGTACTTAAACATTTCCTAAAAGTTTTTTTTTTTTTTTTTTTTTTTTTTTTTTTTTTTTTTAAAGGATCAATCCCTTCAAATTTTTGTCCGTTTCTGAAGGTCACACCACCATGATCTTCTCAAGTTATACAAGTGGGTGATAACTATTTAAAGATCCAATTTTACGTATATGGTCCTACGTGCAATTTTGCTGAGGATACTTTTAATATCAATGCTTAAAGTACAAAAACACGTATAAATATTGCAGTTTTTCAAAATCTCTGTTCCTTTTTTTAGTTTTTGAAGGGAAACAAGTCAACTGCATAGTCTGGAATTATTCTGCTATATATTCTGCTAATAGAGAATAAAAATTAAAAAAAAAGTTGTCAATACTTAAGTTGACTAGTTTTCCAGTGGATTAATAAAGTATGACAGGTAGTCTGCAACGTCGCAAACGGAGATACGAGTTTTTGCACTTTACTCCTCGATTTAATGCGGCGTACAGTCGGACCGTATTTAGTGGTCCAGTTGGAAGTTCTTGATGTGGCCAACATATTTTTTGTGAAATTTTGATGAGGAAATATGCCTCCGAGATGTCTAATTTTCACCGAAAATAGTCTCTAGGATCCGGAGAACAGACTCTTAAAAAATATGACAAGAAAAAATACTCTTGATTTAATCGAATTTTTGCATAAATCGCTAAGAAAAAAACTATAATTAAGAGCCTTGGCTCTCGATTTAAGCGAAAATTCGATTGAATCAAGAGAATTTGTTCTTGTCAAATTTTATAGGAGTTTGGACTCTGGATCAAAGAGGTTTACGTTGTGACTTTGAAAATTTGGAGGGCAAGCAGCTATACTAATGGTATATTCTGATACTGCGTTTTAATCCCTGGTTATTTTTTGGAACAGGCTCCTTTCTCACTCAGATTCATAATATTCTCGCAGTCGTGCGGCCCTGGCGGTAAAAAACCTTTTTTTTAAAAGGGTTATTCTGACCAGACATGTTTACTTACAGATTCTGCCGATCAAAAATAGGATGACGAAACCGGGACAATTTGGATCCACTTTCGGTGTGCTCAACGCAGCAATGGTTCCCAACACTGCATTGTGTGTCGTTTTCGGGGTTTTTGGGTATCTGGCCTACGGGAAGAATACTCTCAGTCCCATCACTCTGAACTTGCCACAAACCGGAATGTAAGATACCACAATATTATCATAACTTTCGTATTGTTTCAATTTGTAATTTTCACACGTCGTGAGCAAAAGATCAAAACTCGTACTTTGAGGAAAATGTCTAGGGAAATAGTCAGTTGTTTTTATTCAGGCTCCACGCTTACTAAGTGCTATTCCCTGAGTCTTATTTTGAAAGTTTATATTCCGTCCGCAAAAATCATGGAATTCAGCTCAGTAGAACAAACCATGACTAAGAAATGAAATTTTCTAAAATATGCAACATATGATGGCTACAATTTAAAGTCATCCACGAAAATAGCAATTTCTTAATATTTTTTGTAGTGATCAGAGCAAGACGGAAAGGCACATTTTAAGGATTTTTTTAATTTCAGGGTTGGAGACTTAATCAGGTTCCTCTTGGGTGCATCCATCTTCATGTCTTATCCAATCGGCAATTACGTTGTTGTTGAGCTTCTTTGGCACAAGAATTTGAAACTGAGATACGAAAAAATACCAGATTATTGGGAGTACGTCTTCCGAACATGCGTGACGTGCACTAATAGTAAGTATTACCTTCCGCAAAAAGTAAAAATATATGCTGAAAATAATTTCTATATTTCTAAAAAAACATAGAGCTACCACAGATTGATGTAGGATGTAGTTATTCCAAAAAAACAAAAATAGATTTTTGTACAAAATTTCGGCCCAATCCCAAAAAACTCTCTGATTATTTTTTTAAGAACAAATTATACCAAAAACATACGATAGCTCTGCCGTTTGAATTCATCATTTAAAAGTAGGTGATATCAAAACGGCCCAATTTCCCCCTTAATACCTATGCAATATACATCGCAAAGTTTTTTCCTAAAAAAAATCAAATACTTAAAAGGTATAATGGTCTGGAACACGTTTTGATTCATTGTTTAAAAGGAGTGATATCAAAACGGCCCAACTTCCCTTAAATTTGCCCACCTCGGGGCAAAATTATTCGAAACTTTCCAACTCATCACTTAAGAGACACCAACCACTACTTGAGTTTTAGTATATCTCTTCCTTTAAAAATCAAAGATGTCCCTTTGAAAACTGTAATGGTTTTTTCTCTTTAAAGATACAAAACACAAATAAT